CTGGGCACTTGATCGATACTCTAGATGTTAAATTATTTGACTAATAGACTAGTTCATGTTGAACAATGATACACGATTTACGATCGAAAATTGAAAATCGGATTATAGGCTCTAAAATAGTCATATTAAAACAAATACAAGCAACCCACCCAGCTAAACTCAAAGAAGAAATCAATAATACAATGGAGTTTAAAATAATGTTGCGACATTTGAAAATGATGAGTGTCTGTTTGCCTTCGCTTACCTGTTAAATACACCTTACATTCATTGACCAGATATTAGATTACTGATTGATTTTTAATAAAACTGTAATTTCTTTCTTCAGTCCTTGTTAAACAGCTACCAACTAATAACATGTACAGAATAAGTTGACAGTAAAATTTATATGACTGACTATACTATATATAGCATTAAGGACTAGGTGATTTCCGTTGAAGTACAACCGTTAGCAAGGGAATATTAGACAGCCATTTTACCATAGTACAGAAAATCACTGCAGTGCTCATCCACTTACTTAATGATGCCTGTTATCCCTCATGAACGAGCATAGGCTACCCAACAGCATTCTCAATCCATATCTGTTCTGGGAAATATTTCTCACTTGTTTCCAATTGCTATTAATCCTTTTTATGTCTGTTTACAATTCTCGACACAATGTGTTCTTCGGTCTTCTTCTTCTTTAGTCTTTTCTATTTCCCTTCAGGATACCAAGATGACGCTTGCGTCGTGATGCAGTTGGATGATTTGTTGAATCGGATTTGTTATCTGCCATATTAGATTATTGTTGATGATATCCGTCCAACGGATATGGAGTATATTGTGTAAACAATGGTTTATAAATACTTATACATTTTGATGATGGTTGTAGTAGTTTTTCAAGTTTTAGCTGCACATAGTGGGACTGTTTTGACGTTTGTATTGAAGATTCTGACTTTGATATTATTTGAAAGATGTTTCGGGTTCCAAATGTTCTTCAGTTGTAGGAATACTGACCTCAATTTTCGCAATTTATGCATTTACGTCTCATCAGATACTCCTTGGTCGTCGATGACGCCGAATAGGTATGAAAAACATTTCACCTCCTCCAAAGTTTCTTCACCAAGTGTGATTGGGTTGGTGTTCTCCGTGTTGTATTTGAGGGTCATGCTATTTCCATTGTGTACGTTGAGGCCTACTGATTCAAAAGTTTATGTTACATTGGTTGTCTTCATCTGCATTTGCTCGTGTGTAGAGGATAGAAAGTTTAGGTCATCTGCGAAGTCTAAATCGTCTAGTTGCATGCAAGCTATCCATTTATTCCGAGCTTCCTTTCAGAGATGGAGGTCTTCATAATCCAGTCAACTATCAGAAGAAAGAGGAAGAGAGAGTAGGCAGCCTTGTTTGACTCTGGTCTTCACTTGCAAGGCGCCTGTCAGATGTCCTTCATTCACGACATTGCACTGTAGTCCGTTATATCAGTTCCGTTTGATTGTGACAACCTCATCTACTCACTACATAGTGTCGAAGAAGGTTCTATCAGGTTCTTCTAACTACGCTGTCAAATAATTTCTCATAATCAAGGAATTTGATGTATAGTGACGACCTCCGTTCCATTAGTTGGTCAGGAGTGATCCGTAGCGTCGCGATTTGGTTGGTACATAATCTATACTTACGAGATCCACCCTGTTGATCTCGAAGTTAAGCGTCTACTGAATCTTTCATCCGGTTTAGCAACACTCTGTCCCAAACATTTCCCAATACTGACTGCAGTGTGATGTCTGTGTGGTTCTCAAATTTGCTCAGATCTCCTGTCTTTATCTTAATGAGATGTCTTCCTTTGCAGTCTGTCAGTGGCACTTTTTCCTCCTCATAAATATTGCTGAATACAGTATGAAGTATGTTTACAGTTACTTCTATGCGCGACTTCAGTGTTTCACCCGGTCTGGTCCTACTGTTTTCTCACTGTTGATTTATCTTACGACCATCATTATTTATTCTATTGTTGATGGGGTGACATATATAGAAAGGTTTCTGTGTGTGCTGCTTCAATATCCAGTGGATTCAGTGAAGCTGGTCTATTCAACGAAGGCTGTATGGAACCTTTGCACGGCTGTGTCTTCAGTTGTCCAGTGCTTCTTTGGGTACAGTTTCATCTCGGCAGCCACCAGATGGTGATCTGAAGTTATGACAGCTCCTCTACTGGTACTTACGCCTTCCATTGATTTTGTGAATTTTTTACCGATGCAAATATGATAGATCTAGTTGTCTGTAGTGTGATCCTGTGAGACCCATGTGGTTTTGTGTATGTGTTTGGGAGGGGGGAGTATATGTCCGCCTATCAACAATTTATCGAATGCACATAAATTTGAATATCTCTCACCATTCTCCTTTCTTTCTCCCATTCCTCCTTCATACCCAGTGTTATCCATTATGAATTCGACGTTTACGTCTCCCACCAGGATGGTCACTTCTCTACAATCGATTACAGTCTTTCATAAAACTGATCCTTGTCGTCTTCATTTCTACCATTTGTGGGTGCATAGCACTGGATAACACTCATTGTCATTCCATACTCCTTTCTTTGAATGACGTTTTCATGGTTTTCGATCTGCATTGGACAGCATCAGTGTAGCTCATTGTGTGAGGCATTTTCTCCTTGGTGATCAGAGTTCAAAAGCACCTCTTTGGAATCTAACGTTTTCTGTTCAGCTTTCTTCTAATGGTTTTCACTAGTTCCGAGAACCGCCATCTCTTATTTCCTCAGTTATTTGACTTGTCCAGGTCTCACACATTGTGCGAACATTCCATGTACCTATACTGATTACTGTTCTGGTTTTAGAAGGGGATATCTGTCCTGAGTTTCGCACCTTGTATATTTAACTGGAAGATAATGTACTCACACCAAATATTCATTAGATCTGATATGTCATTAGTACGAGAACGATTACTGGAATTTTCAGAACTTATAATTTTTTTAAATGATTGATTTAAAGTTTAAGTTCGGTATTATGATATATAGATCATTTTGAAAAGTGTACTCAATCCAGATTTCGAAATATGTAAGTGGTATCTAATCGTCTCCACTTTTACTTTGGTGTTCACATAACTATATGATTTCACTAAGGTTTACTGGTGTAGAATTAATAAAACCTAAGACGTAACATCGGTCCATGAATTTATTGACTGCTTAAATGAACTATGATAGTAGGTGCAAACTACCTGTTTGATATTCGAACTATTACCATAATCAGTGGATTGAGACATTGGATAACGTGACTAATAATTAGTCTTGATGGAAGAAATGTATTCACTGTCTTAAAGAAATTATAACTTCGATTCCTCAAATTGTTTTCCTACTTTAAGATCATGAATTGATTAATGGTAAACCACTACTGAAAACCTGGAAGAACTGGGAGGCCGTTTTCTTATTGTCAAATCATATTATTCATACTTAGTCTCTTCTAATAAGATTGATACTGTTAGTAATAATTATCATACGACATTTGTATTGTTAAGTTTATTTTGCTGTGTTGATGTGACATGACAACGTAAACCGATGCATACATGTGATAGGTTTAACGTTACTTATGGATGATTGATCTAAAAGCTGAACAAATCTACAAAGGCCTAATATGAAATCAATAGTTGTGTGTTCACTAGCCACTAGTTTTCATACAATATTTCTTAAGGCTTAAGAGAGAAGATGTGATCTATAAAGTTCAGCTACGTTAGATAATTGGACAACTCTTCACTAACAGCACTGGTTGATGGTAGCAGTATATCGCAAACTAACTAAATGTGTAAGTATTGATTATTGAAATGAGACTCAATTACTTTGCTGTCATTATCTAAATGCTTTAAGTTTGATCATTTATAAAGGTCATGAGTAACGGCACATTCGAGAATTCTTAAACTAAGATTTAGTGATGAAAATGTTTTTTACAGATTGACAAACTTCAGTATTGTGTATTAAAAAAAAAGAAAGTACAAACCCTTAGTAATACCTTCACAGCCGATTGAACAGTTTAATGATTATCTGTACTTATCAACTCAGTGGATAACACACTGAGCTTTTGAAGCAAAAGCTACTGGATTTAAACCTTAGTGTGAACAAAAAACGTTAGGATGTAGATATATGCAGTTGACGAGTTTTGGAGAAAAAAGACCGAAACACTCATCTTATTTTTATTGATTAAACAAGTAAGTTATGCAGTAGTAAACTTGAACTTGAGTTCATAAAATTAAAAAGTCTCAAGATACCTATGATGTTATATTTCATTCCGTCATTAAAAATAGTGAATCTCTTAAAGAGATCTAGTTCTTTTATTGATCAAATTACAAGATTATATATGAATCTCGATAAGATTACTTACTAGTGAATCATTAGTTGGATTTCACGAACTGTCGTTAAAGGTTACTTATAAGTAAATTAATTATTTTTAATTGATGTAAATGAGTTTGTTATTTTTATTGTCCTTCTTTTTTCTTTTCTTTACTTTTCTTTGTAAAATTATATTTTAATAATAAAAACAAGAAATTAAAAAAACAACAAAGCAATACACACAAATAATAATGATAAAATGAGGAAATTGGAAGGAAAGAAAATGTATTGGTATTATTATTATTATTTTACGATGAAATTTGAAGTAAACTGTAAAGGAGCATCTCTTTAAGTAAGATAAACAAAGTTATTAAGTAAATCTCTTCCGATTTGTATATTCCATTTTTAAATAGAGCAAGAATAAACATGGATGCAGAATAGTATGAATTCATATTATTTCGAGGTTTCTCGTCAGCTGCTTACAAACCAAAATTGTGATAGAATTTTTACATGGAGATAGTGTGAAACAAGTGACATAAATGAGTGTAAATAACGTGATTACAATAATAACTATATATATATATGCTAGAAACAGGTCAGAGGTCAAAAGAGGGGGGTTAATCCAGGGTGGGTGGTTTAATAATAAATAATAATAATAAATAATAATAAATTATTAAACCACCCACCCTGGATTAACCCCCCTCTTTTGACCTCTGACCTGTTTCTAGCATATATATATAGTTATTATTGTAATCACGTTATTTACACTCATTTATGTCACTTGTTTCACACTATCTCCATGTAAAAATTCTATCACAATTTTGGTTTGTAAGCAGCTGACGAGAAACCTCGAAATAATATGAATTCATACTATTCTGCATCCATGTTTATTCCTGCTCTATTTAAATTCATAAAGGGAACCAATTGCATGATATTCCATTTTTATTGTTTGTTACAATTGACTATTACGTGGTGTAGATGAAGAACGTATAGATTTTATTAGATGATTTGAATAGTTCATTTCTCTTGTATTATCATCATTATTATTATCTTTGTTTAATGATTTCATTGATGATTCTTTGAATATAGTTTGACTGAAATTCAATAGAATATATGAAGTATATAATAATTTTACAATATTCATACCATAACTTGATAATAATGCCCATTCTAAAAATCTTATAGGATATTTACTAGCAAAATGTAGTAATATTACTGTTGGACTTAATGTACTCCATAAACAAATACCTTGATTCCATTGAGTAATTAAATTGATCATTTCTGGATAACATAAACATTGTACAAGTGTATTAAATTTATATGGATCCCGTTCATTAACATCGATTTGTTTAGCTAATTTTTGTAAAACAGTAGTAGGTAATGGATAGGATGGTATATTTAATAAATGATTAGATACTTCTTGTGCTAATTCATTGTTACTGAAAAATAAATCTTTTTTTAACTGATTTTGTAAATGTATTGAATGATCTGACTTTCTATTTTCTCTTCGTTTAATATTAGTGTTGTTTATATTGTTGTTATTAAAGATGTTCTCTTCATAAGATGCATCGTCATTATCTTCCTCTTCACCCTCGTCTTCGCCAATGTTGACATTATTATCATCATTATCGTCATCATTATCAAGAAGATATCTCACATCAGTTGAGCGTTGGTTTCGTTCATTTTGTGATGTTCTTGGTTTGTGTAAGTCAATACTACACAACGATGTTCTATAGCTGTGAGAATTTTGTGCAATCAAAAATAGAAGTGTTTGTATTAATTGTTTAGAATCCCATACTTTTGGATTATTATAATGTTTGCTTAGATCGTTTGAATTGAGTAATTTAAATTCCAGATCTAAGTTTGGACAACATTTTGAAATTACCTGTGTAATCAAATGGACAGTTTCATGAAGAAGACTAAATGCTTGGTGTATATGACATGGGAGACATCTGGAGAAAATATCAAGGACCTATTATTAAAATGAGAAAGAAGAATATTGCAAATTAAATGGTCATACTATTTAGATTTGAATTGACTAACAAAAATATTTGTATTATACATAAATGACTGGTATCTAATGAGCGAAGCCGTAGTTTCTAGCTCAAAACAACTGATTGCTTATAATTACACAGATACCATAATGCTATCTAAGATTTTAAAAAAGTATTAAAGTGGTCGTTGGTAGTAGTCACAAAGAGGCCATGGGACATAGATTTCATGCTATTTGGCAGCCGACAGCAAGGTGTGTCTGTAATCTTGAAGAAACTGACGCTACCTGGTGGATTCGATCACATGTCACTCAGTTTCACGGTCACAGATGTTACCACTGATCACTGGGTAGTGATCAATGTCATGTATGTCAGTTTTTTGGTCTATATCAAATTCTATGGATCAAATTGCAATGTGGTCTACAAATCTAGATGACTCGGAATCGCATGCTTTATGTTGAAATGTATATAAAGAAGTATTGTTTATACTTTCATCAAGAAATGTTTTTTATATAATCAACAGAGGATTTTTAGAAAGCCAAGAACTAGGTCCTTAGTTGGTAATCGAGGTTGTCATGTTTCTTAGCAATAAACGCAGAGGTTAAATGAGCTTGAACCGAACGTCAAAATTCAAAGGCTTTCACACCGATAAACAAATTTAACTTGAAATATTATCGCATGTCAGGTTTTTAAGTAAGCTTGTGCAAAATCGGGAGCGTTATTGGAAGGACCAGTGGTTCGGGTTTGTTAGGTAGTTGAATTTCTATTTTTATTTGACATGATTACAGGATAACCGCTAAGCATCAACCAAGACATTTAAAATAAAACATAAAATTGTCAGAACATATTTTGTGAAAGACATTCCAGTGAGACTGTAGTTTATGGATGACCTTCAAGCGAACTTTAGAAAAATTCCCCTCCCTACTAGAGTCTAAAAATAGTATAAATTAGTGTCAAAAATCGGGATTCGGCGCTAGAAGTTAGAGATTAGGGTCATCATCACGAACTGATATCAGTTATAATGCCAAAATACTATTTTACCATATTAATGAATTCCGCACAAAATCCAAAACATGATACCTTTGATTTCATTGGCTCGTCCACAAATTATGGTCTCGCCGATATTTTATTTTTATCAAATGATAAATGCCGCGAAACATATTCAGCTCACCAATCTACCAAGAGTCTACAAGGTACTGCTTAAAGAAAGCTTTTACTTTTAAGATCAGTAGAATCTCTTACAGAAGTGATTAAATAATAAATCGAACACTATACACTGAACTTGGTTAATTAACTACTGATCAATCGGATGGCTACAAAATTTCATATTCCTGAATTCAATTAAAATAATTTTTCTATGGCGGGATGAATAATAAAGCGTAAGTGGACTGTCGGAATGGTCCTGTCTGGAGTTTTTGTTGATATTTCCGTTGTAGAATTATTAAATACTTAAACTATTATATTCTTGTATTCTCTTATTTATAAGCTCTCGTTTAACACATAAATCATTGTTGTGCGTCTCACCATTCCTAAGTTATTGTTAAACTATTACGAGTTTATTAGTCAGTTCGTTTCCACCTATGACGCAGCTATACCCACAACGTAATTTCTTAGTTCTATTGATGTGTGATCAGGATTTGGCTCTATAATCAATACTGGAACTAGATCAGTACATCAACTGTTCTGTCTTGCAGTTCGATCTTAGTGATCCTGAACAATCAAACATAAAAGTATATTTACTTTCACTGACATATCAAATGTTCAATAATAAATTGAACAATGGGAAAGTTCCATTTTAAACTGAGTTTTAAGCGTGTAAAAAAGAGCAATTAATTGAAGTTTATTGTTCAAAGCCCTTATAAATGATTATCTATGGTTATGTCATGATGCCAGATTCTTTTATTGCTAACTGTTGACCTGCCTGAAAAAATCTAGATTGACTACTGCTTGTATTTTTATAATGATAATCGTCAATTTTTATAATCAGTGAAATTTTCTGATACTTAAGCATCTGTATTGGGTACATTATGGACATCATATGTCAGTTATTGTTATGCTGTGTGTAATTTATAGAGTAAATATATTATTACTGTAAACAAAATGTAAAATCTAGTTGTTTGATTTGTCGCTTTATAATACCAACGGTCTTCGAGATTATGACGAACTTACTAGAGTTACTCATACTGTGGTGTGCTACTTATATTGACATAAGTAGTATATGACGTTAATCGTCTGGCAGCAGAGACAAGAGGACCGAACAGTAAAGAATGGAAACAGAATTCAATTTGTATGAAAACGCAAAAACAATCAAGGCTGAGTGATTTTGAGACAATCGATGGACATTTTGCAAATTAAACATTTACTTTATGATTGTTAGATTTTATTAACAAGTCCTGCAATTTTGTGTTAAATGCATTGGATTGTCCCCACTGGTGTTCTTGTTCACTACAATACTACATAAATTTTATTATGTTTGATATTTGGTGATTAACCATAACTGGTATCGAAGACGTTTCCCTGTGAGATGTTGGAGAAGATTTGTAGCTCACATGGATGATTTTGATTTTGATGGAGTTTTCTTCTCTGATCTGAATGGTTTGGTCGTGGAGCTTTCATTGTTCTTCTGAACGACATATTCAGCACAAACTTCAGATAGAAGTGAGGTGTTCGAACTCCACTAAAACGTTTCACTATGTCTCGTGACAGTTAGCATTCAGTAAAGAGGCCCATCTTGCATCTCATGTAAGCACTAAAGCACACACAGGGTGATATATTGGTGATCACTTAGTGATCAGTATTTTTATCATGTTAGTCAACAAATGCTTAACCCCGCCTGGAGCCCCTCTGGAGCCACTGCCGATTTCAAGCCCAGGTAAAGGAGGAGGGTTGGGCATGGGGTTAGCGACCCCATCCCGTAGAAAACTAACTCGCTAAAAAACGCTAACCAGAAAAAAATTATCCAAACCACTTAAACTCTGCCAAGGGAGTCAGGTCTTCATTTAGTAGAGTTAGGATGCCTCTTGATGAAAGCCGAGCTCCTTCGGAATTCACGAGGCCGATGACCCTTCTGACAACCAGAGCAACCATCTGACAAACTTAACAAATTCAAGATAGTTCTCAGCAATAAGTTTCAGGCCTTTCATGATCAACTCAATGAAGAAGGAACTACTATGGAGAGAAAATGGAAAGGGATCAAAGGGGCAATCACTTCAACATGTCATGAGGTTTTGGGCCACAAGCGATGAATCACTGTTGATACACTGCATAGGATTCAAGAAATGAGGAACAAGAAAGCAGCAATCAATACCAGTCGAACAAGAGCATAAAAAGCCAAGGCACAAGCTGAATACACAGAAGTAAACAAACAAGTGAAGAGGAGCATCAGAACCGACAAACGTAAATATGTGGAAGATTTAGCAACGACGGCGGAAAAGGCTGCAAGAGAAGGAAACATGAGACAATTGTATGACACGACAAAGAAACTCTCTGGAAATCGCCGCAAACCAGAACGACCAGTGAAAAGCAAAGAAGGCGAGGTAATCACCAACATTGAAGAGCAACAAAACAGGTGGGTAGAACACTTCAAAGAACTCTTGAATCGACCAGCCCCACTGAACCCACCCAACATCGAAGCAGCACCCACGGACCTCCCAATTAATGTTGGCCCACTAACAATTGAAGAAATCAGCATAGCCATCAGACAAATCAAGAGTGGCAAAGCAGTAGGACCGGACAACATCGCAGCAGAGGCACTAAAAGCAGACGTAGCGGCAACTGCAAAGATACTCCACATTCTCTTCAATAAGATTTGGGATGAGGAACAAGTACCAAAAGGATGGAAAGTAGGACTTCTGGTCAAAATACCAAAGAAAGGCGATCTCAGCAAGTGTGAAAACTACAGGTGGATCAATCTTCTCACAATACCGGGAAAAGTCTTCAACAGAGTATTGTTAAACAGAATGAAGGACTCTGTAGACGCCCAACTTCGAGACCAACAGGCTGGATTCCGTAAAGATCGATCGTGTACAGACCAAATCGCAACACTACGGATCATTGTGGAACTATCGGTTGGATGAAATTCATCACTCTACATCAACTTCATTGACTACGAAAAGGCATTTGATAGCGTGGACAGAACAACATTAGGGAAGCGTCATCGACGCCACGGCGTACCTGAGAAGATAGTCAATATCATACGGAATTCCTATGATGAATTAAACTGCAAAATTGTGCATGGAGGACAGTTGACAAAGTCGTTCAAAGTGAAGACCGGTGTTAGGCAAGGTTACTTACTCTCACCCTTTCTCTTTCTCCTGATGATCGACTGGATCATGAAGACGTCAACGTCTGAAGGGAAACGCGGGATACAATGGACATCTAAGATGATCTAGACTTCGCAGATGATCTGGCCCTTCTATCTCAAACGCAACAACAAATGCAGGAGAAGACGACCAGTGTAGCAGCAGCCTCAGCAGCAGTAGGTCTCAATATACATAAAGGGAAAAGCAAGACTGTCCGATACAACACAGCATGCACCAATCCAGTCACACTTGACGGAGAAGATTTGAAAGATGTAAAAACCTTTACATATCTGGGCAGCATCATTGATGAACTCAATGGATCTGATGCAGATGTGAAGGAACGGATCGGTAAAGCAATAGCATCATATCTACAACTGAAGAACATCTGGAACTCAAAACAACTGTCAACCAACACCAAAGTCAGGATTTTCAATACAAATGTCAACACAGTTCTACTGTATGGGGCAGAAACCTGGAGAACTACGAAAGCCATCATCCAGAAAATACAGGTGTTTATTAACAGTTGTCTACGCAAAATACTTCGGATCCGTTGGCCAGACACTATCAGCAACAACCTACTGTGGGAGAGAACAAACCAAATCTCAGCGGAGGAAGAAATCAGGGAGAAGCGCTAGAAGTGAGTAGGAGACATATTGAGGAAAGCACCCAACTGTGTCACAAGGCAAGCCCTCACATGGAATCCTAAAGACCAAAGGAGGAGAAAATGAAGACCAAAGAACACATTACGTCGAGAAATGGAGAAAGACATGATAAAAATCGACAAAAGCTGGATCGAACTAGAAAGAAAGGCTCAAAACAGAGTGGGATAGAGAATGCTGGCCGACGACCTATGCTCCATTGAGAGTAACAGGCGTAAGTAAGTAAGTAGAAAGTTGAATTAGGGATTATGTTATGTTTAACAATTAAAACATTTCCTTAAAGGAAACAAATCATTAATCATGTTAACTTACTTGTTTATATTCATTAATACATAAAAATATTTGTATTTCACCTTTCGAATCAGTAATTTTTGATCCATGAAGCCACTGTACTAAATTCCATGAATGTGAACCTTTTGTTCTTCGTTTATTATAAATAGAATTGGTAATATTATTATTATTATTATTATTATTATTATTATTATTATTATTATTATTATTATTAAAATCTAATGAATTTAAATATAATTCTGATGTTGTATAAAACTGTTTATTAATATTCTGATTACCATTATGATGACCTTTTAAATTTAATTTATTAAATTCATTTGATAATTTTGTTTGAATAAATTTTTTTCGATTGATTGAAATTTCACGTCTTAATTGTACTTGTATACGTGGCATTAAATGTATAAATTGTCCTGGTGATGTAATTAATTGTAAACCAGAATATATCATTCTTTTATTCTCATCATTACTATTATCCCATAAACCATGATATAATGGAATTTGATTTAAACGTGGCATTTCAATTTGTATCTCTTCAATTGCAATGGAAGAATTATTCAATTTAGAAATATCGAATACAATAGTTTTTGGAAATTGTGTATTATTGCTTAAGTACAAATCATTATTACTATTATTATTATTATTGTTGCTGGTGTAATTACTACCATTACGATCAGTTTGTTCAATATCTGGTGTCAATGGTCTTGACAATGGACTACTACTAATTTGTTCAAATAATTCAAAACAATCAGTTGAATGTTTCTTTTTATTTCGTGATTTTAAATGACGATGCTCTTTAACAATACAACACACACATAAACCAAATGATTCTAGCAATTTAAGTAAAATTTGTGTATCTTGTTCACGTACAAATAATTGTATATCATCTAGAGTAAAACTGCCAGTGATTCGAGTTCGATGAAGAAATCGTTCAGAGAAACATTTACCTAGTATCTCATTGCATAAGTGATTTGGATTTAATACAATCAAATCATCTTTATAATAATAATATTTGCCATTATCTTCACTGATAACTGCCGATGAATTATTTACAGTAGTATTATGTGAAGTGGTTTGAATATATAAAATCTGTGAAATAAAAATCGAACAGGTTACTCTGAGACTAAAGTTTAGAAAATATTTAACAATTAGACATTAAAATCATCTGAGGAATAACGGAAAGCTAGGAAGCACTGTACATTTATTTTATATTAGATTGGGGACTCCACAGGATTGTAAAAACATAGCCCAAATATGGAATCAAGTCATAGCTTTCAGCTCCTTAAATAGGCACAGTGGTTTTAGTTTGTTAGAAATTCAACGTCCCATGCTTCCGAATGCAGTCAATTTAAGGTAATATGAGGTAATCATCGGTTGTCATAGGTAGATGATTGTATTATTTCTTGCACGTTTGAACACTCCCAAACACTGATTTCAAATATTTATCTAAAAGTTTGTCATCGATGAGCATACAATTGTTATTTGAATAAACATTTTGTTGAATGTGCTCACTTTGAAAAGACTGGTTACTTTACAGCTTTATACAACAAATTTAAAGGTTTGAATAAATAAATTTTGTTAAGGATAATCATAGATTGCCCTTTAGTTAGGGTACCGATAAAAACCAAGGTAACCAGTGGGTATCCGTTTCATCAGTATGAAGACAGTCTACATCATGAACTGACATAAGCCGCAGAACCAGTGACATTGGGACGAGTATCTAACTGTCTCACTCAACTTTTAAATTTATCAGTATTGCGCACCTTAAAATTTACATGGGATTAAACCTAAGAGCTTCAGATTACTAAACGAAAACGAAACCAGTGAGATTATAGGAAATGATTTGTAAATTTCAACTTCAGTGGATTTGTAATAAGGCCACATCACCTAGTTTTTCTTACCTTTGTGCACATATTACATGTGTAAAATTTTGTTTTCTGTCATTAAACTTGAATACCTTTAGTGTCACTTTTATCCTGCTTATAATTTATTTAAAAAGTGTGTATTATTGTTCATTATGCAATACTAGACACTACCCAAAACAAGTCTGTTGATTTTAGACTTCAGAGATTAACACCGGGAGAGAATTCTTCACAATCGAACTGCACCCGGTAACAAATTAAAAAGTTTATACTTTTTGCAAATAAAACATTCCCCATATTCAAGAAACAAACAATATTTTTTGGGGTTGAGAAAAATAACAGTCATTGACTGATTGATTGAAAAATTAAGTACAATTGTCGTTTAAATCAAAATTTGACAACCATTAACATCACGTTTCGTTTGCAAAAGAACATTGTTGTTTTGATTGAAATATTCACTGGCAGGGGAAAATTTTAAGTAGGTTACGTTAGATAATCCTATCAATTGTATGCATGGACAATTCTGCCAACTTTTCTGGTCAAGAAGTTTGTATAAAATTATCACCGGAAACAAGAAGAATTTGAAAATCTATTTTATTTTAATTTGAAACCTCGTAAATAAGTAGAGACATGCTGATACTGAAATTAGATGTGAGGTGGTTTTATGCTTCAAATAGGGTATTACAAAGGAACTGATGAAAGTATGTATCATGGTAATCCTATAATCAATCAAAGATATATTACAACCAGCTTATTACATCATCCCGATAGAAAAATTAGATAACCTATGAGACTTTAGAAATATACATCTGCAATGACATCTTTTCTGTATATATCAATAAGTATTTTTAGAATTCGAAATACTGATTCAGGTTGTAGGTGGATTTCAATAAAACAAATGTGTTACTAGATTTCAAATAGAATGAATAGAACAAAATAACTACTTAGTTTCACCTCGTTACAACCTAAGCATTTCTCATATTATAATCCATTTTGAGTTCAATCAAATATTTATCATGAATAGTTTACTGGTTGTTACATTAGTCAATTGTACTGAAAAATCAATCAAATTAACAAACATAATAAGTGCTTAGCAAGAATATACTTTAAAAATGAGAATAAATCAATGAAAATCTCACATTCCCAGCACATTGTAAATGTTCAACAAGAGTTACTAAATGTTCATCCGTACACAAAGGATTAATATGTTCATGAACACGTTCAGCAAATTCATCCAAATTACATATAGGAAATATATCATTAACTGTCCATTCTGGCAATTTATTTGATAAATCGATCATTAAAGAATTTGTCCTTGGTAGTGTCTATGAATAAAAAAATAAACCAAGAGTTTTGTAAAATGCCAACATTTGTTTTTCTATTATCCATTTCGTTTAGTTAATCAATGAGGCTGTAAGTATACTAACTGCATTCAAGATTTTCAAACTAAAATGAATATTATCAGAAGGGATTTTGTGGAGATGTTTTTTTAGAAATTTCACTGATTGAAATCATGGGTCAATTGAAGCTAGACCACCATGGAAAACCTGGAAGTACTGGACGGTCGTTTCGTTCTAGTATGGGAATCCTCGGTAAAATTTCTAAAAAATCTCCACAAAACCCATTCTGATAATAACCAACTGCTCACTAGTGAATGACTTCAAGGGATACTCTTGGAGTTCTAGAGAGAAGTCGTTACCAGTGGAGTTCAATCAGGTCTGTTGTGAGATATCAACTCACTGAAGACAATGGTGTACGGTCGCACGACTTCGTGGTTGAACTTAGACATTAACACCGTTGGATACCAGCTCAGTGGTCTAGTTGGTTAAGCGCCTGGCGCGAGACTGATATGTCCCAGGTTCGAATCTCGCGGGGTGCGGGATCGTGGATGCGCACTGTTGAGGAGTCTCAGACTAAGACGAAACGACCGTCCAGCACTTCCAGGTTTTCCATGGTGGTCTAGCTTCAATTGACTCGTGATCTCGATCAGTAAAATGAATATTGTCAACAGATCTGAAAAGTTCAGTACTAAAACAATGCTAAGTAACTAAATATATTAATGTGTACCAGATTACAATTTCAAAGTACTTCTGAATAAAGAAATTTTAAAGTATCTGGACAAACATCCTATTTCTATCTAAACACTTCTCATGACTGGTAACCAGAAAACTAGCCTACCTTCTTTAGAGCTCTTGGCTATAACTCTCAAATACATATTCTTTTAATCGTAAAAGAAAAGATACCTATATATTCAGCTGTAATATGAGATATGTACTGCAGAAAACTTAGATATCTAAAATAGTACTTCTGTCCATGTTAAACATAGTACATTAAAGTATAATAGTAACAACTGAGAGGATCTTTTTAGAATAATTTGATCACTTGGAAAATTTTTCAATTGTGTTTTAATCATTTTGTGTTATATTAATCATGTTATTAATTCTCACTGTGTACTGAACTAATCAAGTTTTCTAGTGCATATTCATGTGCCAAACCAGTTCGAGTTTTTTTTATAAGAAATGTTCAACTGTTTACATAATGGTAAATTAAATAAACAATTTCATAATCAAGATTGAATAATTGTAAGTTAAACGCATTAATTTAATGGACACAGCTGTTTTCATTTTCGGCAACCCTATAAATATATTAAAAATGTCATTACTTTTGTTTATAGTTGGTTTTTAAACAAAATTAGCCCAGTAAGATTAATGCATAAAAAAATTAAAGTGCATCTACTAAATTGTTTATTCAAGAGAAATCTCATTGAAATCTCAAACCGACCAAAGTAAGACAATCACTAAAAACCTGGAAGCACTGAACTGCAGTTTCGTCCGAGCACTGGATGCCTCAGTAGCGGGCATAAACGACCTCTTCACAGAGAACCTTTGGTCTCGCACAAGAACGCTTAAACTCTAGATTACTGATCCGGGATCTAATGGTTTAAAAGTATAGCTTCTACCAGTCTATGATAGTTTGCAATCGTCTATTGTCTTCGGTGGGAATTTTCTTCACATCTAAAACTATTTAGCACCACCAGAACCTCGTAAGTTTCCTACCGAGGCTACTCACTAGTGAGTACACGACACTTGTCAGTATAAGGTTGTGAAGATTTAGGTTAGCTTTTTGCACTGTTGGATCTCAAACTCAATGCTCTAGAGGTTAACGTTCGTGAGTGAGACCGAAGCTCGTGGGTTTGACTACCTGTGGGAGGGTCGTTGATGTGCACTACTGAGGAGTCATGTACTAGGACAGAACTACCGTTCAGTGCTTTCAGACTTCCTATCGTTGAGTAACTTTGATCTACTCATGATTTCAGCGATATTCAACAATCTCAGCAATCCTATATTGACAAAATAAACGTGTAGAAATATAAATATGAAACAGAATAAAACAATTTATACCTGTATTATGATATTCCGAACATCTGTCAAGTAAGTTTTCAGTTGTTTCATTTCTAGAGATGTTCCATCTCTTGCGTCGAGCAGATAAATACTTTCATGTATGTCTAATTTATCTCTAATAATTAAAGTAAAAACACGACAATGTACACAGAGTAAATGAATAAAAATTATGAGTATATTTTATTACAAAGTAGTAGTAAACAAATTTTTATTCAGAATCATCGTAATTTGGACGAAAATTTTCACAAAAAGGACTGTACTGTCACATTGTTATATATAAGTTATTATTTCTAGAAAGACGATGAGACAAAATCTCGAATAAAAAAAATTTAACCGCGCAATTATGATCTCTGAAATATTTCAGAATTTAATAGTTAACATCTTAAGTAAAAATATTTGAAACCAGAAAGCACTAAACAACTATTTCATCCTAGCATGAAATCGCTTAGCAATGCACACCCTTGATCCCACAGGGGGTCAAACCAAGGAACTTTAGGTTTTAGTAGTAAGTGGTTTCGGGAGGTGACTCCTGGAGTTCTAAAGGAAATCTATGATCAGTAGAATAGTTCATTCATATCGTGTGAGGCAGTTATTCAAAAATGACATTGGAAGATGGTCGCTTAATATAGTGAAGTGATTAGAGTTAAAGTGTAAACTGGTGGATGATAAATCAATGATCTAAAGGTTAAGCAGCAACCTCGAGATTTGAAACTTTTATATTTGATCACTAGTGGGATAATAATGAGTGCGCACTTCTGAGAAGTTTAATACTAAGATGAAACAAATATCCAGCTATTCCTGGTCTTCTATGCTTGTTCAACTTAGGAGTAGTCCGTAATGATGACAATAAAATTGAGTAGTCTTCATAAATCCCTTATAAAGTAATAGTGAAGAATACAATTAATATCTCATATACTATAAATAATTACGGCAAAAAGTGGATGAAAATTATATACCAGATCCTTTGACAAATCTTACTTTACTTACTTACGCCTGTTACTCCCAATGGAGCATAGGCCGCTGACCAGCATTCTCCAACCCACTCTGTCCTGGGCCTTCTTTTCTAGTTCCATCCAATTCTTGTTCAGTTTTCTCATGTCTATCTCCATTTCTCGGCGTAATGTGTTCTTTGGTCTTCCTCTTTTCCTTTGACCTTCAGGATTCCATGTGAGGGCTTGTCTTGTGACGCAGTTGGGTGCTTTCCTCAATGTGTGTCCTATCCACTTCCAGCGCTTCTTCCTGATTTCTTCCTCCACTGGGATCTGGTTTGTTCTCTCCCACAGTACGTTGTTGCTAATAGTGTCCGGCCAATGGATCCGAAGTATTTTGCGTAGACAATTGTTGATAAACACCTGTATTTTCTGGATGATGGCTTTTGTAGTTCTCCAGGTTTCTGCCCCATACAGTAGAACTGTCTTGACATTTGTATTGAAAATCCTGACCTTGGTGTTGGTTGACAGTTGTTTTGAGTTCCAGATGTTCTTCAGTTGTAAATATGCTGCTCTTGCTTTGCCGATCCGCGCCCTCACATCTGCATCAGATCCACCCTGTTCATCAATGATGCTGCCCAAATACGTAAAGGTTTTTACATCTTCCAAATCTTCTCCGTCAATTGTGATTGGATTGGTGCATTCTGTGTTGTATCGGAGAATCCTGCTTTTCCCTTTGTGTATATTGAGACCTACTGCTGCTGAGGCTGCTGCCACACTGTTTGTCTTCTCCTGCATCTGTTGTTGCGTTTGGGATAGAAGGGCCAGATCGTCTGCGAAGTCTAGATCATCCAACTCCATCTTAGATGTCCATTGTATCCCGCGCTTTCCTTCAGACGTTGACGTCTTCATGATCCAGTCGATCACTAGGAGAAAGAGAAAGGGTGAGAGTAAGCAACCTTGCCTGACACCGGTCTTCACTTCGAACGACTTTGTCAACTGTCCTCCATGCACAATTTTGCAGTGTAATCCATCATATGAGTTCTGTATGATGTTGACTATCTTCTGAGGCACGCCGTAGTGTCGAAGAAGTTTCCATAGTGTTGTTCTGTCCACGCTATCAAATGCCTTTTCGTAGTCAATGAAGTTGATGTAGAGTGATGAATTCCATTCAATTGATTGTTCCACAATGATCCGTAGAGTTGCGATTTGGTCTGTACACGATCTATCCTTACGGAATCCTGCCTGTTGGTCACGAAGTTGTGAGTCTACGCACTCCTTCATCCTGTTTAACAATACTCTGTTGAAGACTTTTCCCGGTATTGTGAGAAGAGTGATGCCCCTGTAGTTATCACACTTGCTGAGATCGCCTTTCTTCGGTATTTTGATCAGTAGTCCTTCTTTCCAGTCTGTTGGTACTTGTTCCCCATCCCAAATCTTATTGAAGAGAATGTGGAGTATCTTTGCAGTTGCCGCTACGTCTGCTTTTAGTGCCTCTGCTGGGATGTTGTCCGGTCCTGCTGCTTTGCCACTCTTGATTTGTCTGATGGCTATGCTGATTTCTTCAATTGTTGGTGGGCCAACATTAATTGGGAGGTCCGTGGGTGCTGCTTCGATGTTGGGTGGGTTCAGTGGGGCTGGTCGATTCAAGAGTTCTTTGAAGTGTTCTACCCACCTGTTTTGTTGCTCTTCAATGTTGGTGATTACCTCGCCTTCTTTGCTTTTCACTGGTCGTTCTGGTTTGCGGCGATTTCCAGAGAGTTTCTTTGTCGTGTCATACAATTGTCTCATGTTTCCTTCTCTTGCAGCCTTTTCCGCCGTCGTTGCTAAATCTTCCACATATTTACGTTTGTCGGTTCTGATGCTCCTCTTCACTTGTTTGTTTACTTCTGTGTATTCAGCTTGTGCCTTGGCTTTTTATGCTCTTGTTCGACTGGTATTGATTGCTGCTTTCTTGTTCCTCATTTCTTGAATCCTATGCAGTGTATCAACAGTGATCCATTCCTTGTAATAGTGCTTCTTGTGACCCAGGACCTCATGACATGTTGAAGTGATTGCCTCTTTGATCCCCCTCCAGTTGCTCTCCATAGTAGTTCCTTCTCCATTGAGTAGATTATGAAAGGCCTGGAACTTGTTGCTGAGGACTATCTTGAATTTGTTGAGTTTGTTAGTATCCTGGAGAAAGGCCGTATTGAACTTTTGTGATACTGTCTGCCCCGTTGTCCAGTGCTTCTTGAGTTTCAATTTCATCTTGGCGACCAGTAAGTGATGATCTGATGCTATATCAGCTCCTCTCTTGGTTCTCACGTCCTCTATAGTCCTCCTGAACGTTTTGTTGATGCAAATATGGTCGATTTGGTTTTGTGTAGAGTGACCCGGTGAAGTCCATGTGGTTTTGTGTATGCGTTTATGTGGGAATACGGTGCCGCCTATGATCAGCTTATTGAAGGCACATAGATTTGCAAATCTCTCACCATTTTCGTTTCTTTCTCCCAGTCCGTGTCGTCCCATGATGTCTTCATATCCAGTGTTGTCCGTTCCAACCTTGGCGTTGAAATCTCCCATCAGAATGGTCAGGTCCTTTGTTGGGCACTTCTCGACGATTGACTGCAGCCTATTGTAGAATTGATCTTTCGCGTCTTCATTGTAGTCGTTGGTAGGCGCATAGCATTGAATGATGTTCATTGAAATGCCCTCTTTCTTTGTTTTGAAGGAGGCTTTGATGATCCTTGGTCCATGAGATTCCCATCCTATAAGTGCATTTTGTGCTTGTTTGGACAGCATCAATCCAACTCCTTGTGTATGTGGTGCATTTTCTTCTTCGTGGCCGGAGTATAACAGGAGCTCTCCTGTAGTTAGTCGTTGTTGTCCAACTTGTGTCCAATGTGTTTCACTGATCCCAAGTACCTCTAGGTTGTATCTTCTCATTTCTGCAGCAATCTGGAAGGCTCTCCCGGTGTCCCACATTGTACGAACATTCCATGTACCTAAATAAATGGTCGCTCTGGTTGTCAGAAGGGGCATCGGCCTCATAACTTCCGAAGGGATTCGGCTTTCATCATGAGGCGTCATAATTCTTCTAAATGAAGATCTTCTGACTCCCAAGGCAGAGTTTAAAAGGTTTGAATAATTTTTTCTGGTTAGCGTTTTTTTAGCGAGTTATTTTTCTACGGGATGGGGACGCTAACCCAATGCCCAACCCTCCTCCTTTATCCGGGCTTGGGACCGGCAGTAGCCCCCAGAGGGACTCCAGGCGGAGTTTTTGACAAATCTAAACAGAGCAAAAACAACAAATTTTACTGAATAAAATGAACTCATCAATCAGTCTATTTCATGACTTCTCATCCACTGTATTTAGCATAAAATTGCTATGATCAATATAATTATAACCCAAATATTTATGAAGCTTACATAAATATTTTCGAAATGTAACCCAAATCACATTAATAATAATAATAATAATAATAATAATAATAATAATAATAATAATAATAATAATTATTATTATTATTATTATTATTATTATTATTATTATTATTATTATTATTATTATTATAGGACATAATGTGTATGTATGAACTTAGTTAAGATCGATATGTATCTATATGGTGTAAAGTACTAATGCAGAGTAGAACAGATGTTGCCATTAATTATAATCAAGATAACAGAGGTTATGTAGAGGTCGTGAAATTTATAACTGATAGCGTAGTCACTCAATAGGATAAAGAATAAAATCCAGCAAATATGTGAACATCAGTAAGATTATTAGAAGACGGAAGCAAGAAGGGTTAATAAAAATTCATATAAGTTATTTTGATAATCCATTGCTTTCAGTGAACATAAAGTGAATATGCATTAACAGAAAACTAAAATCAATCCCTGTCAAAGAGAAGTTGACCTGAAAATTATAATATATTTACAACATACACTGAAAATTGTGGTCATATATATAATGTTAATCAAATTGCGCGTGCACGATCGTGAACACGCACTGTTGGGAAGTCCCATACTAGAATAAAACAGCCGTTCAGTGCTCGCAGATTTTCAATAGTGGTCTAGCCACAATCAGTTCGTAACGTAAGCTTTGATAATTAAATAAAAGGTCAAATGAATCAGAAATGATAATTGGAATTACGAAAGAATTTAATAGGGAAAGAATAAGAAATTGGCTGGCAAACCAACCTGGTGATTAAAATATGTTGAAGGCAATGAGGAGAGATTCAAAGTTGGGACAAATTGTCTGTGTACACATAAACAATGATAAAGACATCCATAAAATGAATAATGCTTTCTTGAAAGTTTGCACACAAATCTCTAAAAGCTATTGTACATGAACTATTTCAAAGATACGTTTCAACTATCTCTATTCCCTTTATGTACATTTTTTACACATAATCATATAAATTGGTGAATTCAATTAATTACCCGTTGGTTACAACACACTGATGCTTTCACTCACAGTTCTTACAGTATAATATTGAATCATACTCGATAATTTCATCTTTTTTTTTCATCCATCTACAGATTTTCTGATGTACTTTTTAGTATGAAATATTATTTTTTTTACACTGCTACAAAAACTCTTTGCATTACATTCAAAATCAAAGAATAAAACATTCTGCAACTTACTGGTATTCCAGGATAATTTCTTTTAAAAACAATAAAGTCTCTTCATCATAATAAAATCCATTTTGATCTTTTTGACATTGAACCACATCTGCATGAGTTCCAACAAGAATGATGCGAGCCATTTCTGTCGGTCGTCCTCCAAACACTTAAACAATTAAATAAGATATGATTATTAAATTTGAAAACATACTAGTAAATTGTATTTGATGAATTATTTTTCATTCTAAAAATAACATTGAAAGTTAATTAATAGTCTGTAAATAAATAAAGATTACAGTATACCATTGTTAAATTACTTCTTGTGTCGGATTTAGTTGTATTGTGAAAATTTTCAGTTTACAAAAGATGTAAGTGGAAAATTACTAAAGAACCGTATTCGCTTATTTGAAATAGTGAATCATTCTCAATAATAAGAGTATCAACAACACACTGTAGTGTCGGTTATTATGTTAAGCCCATATACCTTATTCTAGCTTTCGGACAGCCCATCCTATTGATTCTACTTGAGTCAAATTCTGACTTTGTTACTTATTCGCTTATCAATCTTGACTGTTTTTATATGAGCGCGTAGGTATGTGTATATTTCTTATCACATGTCTGTAACTTATTTTTGTGTAACTATAAATATTTCAACAACAATCACCATTACAATCGCCTTGGTGTCAGATCTTGGGCCACTAAAGTGGAGAGCCCTTTCGACAACATCGTTCAATCTAAATGGCGATTAAATAACGGGCCACCACAACACATAAAGACTAAACTTAATGGTTAAGCTTGATTGTCAGACGATAAAATGAGCATTTGTTCTTTGAAATACATCTGTAATATTTAAAAAGTAAATCTCTTGAAAAAAATACTGATATCAAACGAATTAAATCCACCATGGGGATTAGTATTTGTTCTTGAAAAACATGTTAGACAATATGAGTACCGACAAATCCAAAATAATCCAATATGTTATGCAATTACATCGAAAAAGAAAACAACAAATTCCGATTTCGAATGTCAATTACTTAACTGTGCAGGTAGCCTAGTTACGAAGTGACGAAAACTAACTTGAAAATTGGATGAACTCAATATGAAGGGAAGAGAGAAGTAAACTGAAAGCAATCAAGATAAAAACAGAAATGAAGGAACAATGAACCTTGTAAAAGACGATTCGGAGTTGTGCAAATGATGTATGATTTCCACATTTTAATAAACCACTGTGTGACTGTGCATGAAACAATAAATTGATCTTTCCCCACTGAGTTCTCGTGCACTATACTGTTAGTCTCAGAAATTCCTTACATCAAAAAACGAGAAAATATAAACCGTTACAAATAAAAACTATATATGTTTGTAGTGCTTACTTTTGAGTTCGTTCTGAAACTATTATAAGGCTTAGAGCTAAAATCTTTAGAAGAATCGGAAATCATAAGAATGCAAGTATTACAGTCACAATGGAATTGGAAGATATAAAGGAATATATTTTAAATATTATTAAGTTCTATTCAAAAATTCATTAAAACTTCGACCATAATCAAGTGAACTGCTCTCCTGCCTACAACTATCAATTTTTCCTGGGTTAATGAAAACTGAGGGGAAGAGTAAACTAAACAAGAAGTTTTAAAAAATCAAATGATGTCATCCTCAATCATCCTGCACTTGTAAGTGTATAAAGTTGAAAAAATAAGGCCGAATTCAGGTTAAGGTATTATTTTACTTGAGATATATATGATTTATCCTGTTATCAGATGATATTCAAACTTGTAACCTGAAATCATATCAGTCAAAAGGTATAACCATAATGATACAGAAAGCAACGTAACGTGTAAATAATAGACATTAGGGTAAATTTTTTGAAAAGACAGGATCCATAAAGCGTTTTTAAAAGACATTTGTCACAAGGATTAGAGTAATATGAAAAAGAAGTTCGGAACTAATACTTTTTTGTTAGGTCGACTGAGAGAAGAATAGTGTAGTGAAGAGTGATTCCGTTGTCACTACAGGGTACTTATAATAATCTAGAACTAGAAAAAATATGACAGAGACAGAAAGTGCAGAACGAAAGCAGCACAAATTACTGTGAATAGTTTATGTGCTAGATTGTTTTGTAAACTATTAACTTATTGAAATCATTCAGTTGTTAATTGTCCTTAGGTTTCAAGTATTTTTTTAGATTATATATATAATAATATTAATATAATCAAAATAATAGTAACAAAATGAAATCAGTAAAAACGTCTTGATGGAAGAAAATAATTTACATACATAACGGCCCTTTAACAGGTATACGAGCATGAAGAAAATCAAGCCAGAATCGTACACTTCTACGTCTCCATTCTAATGAATCCATCAAATTAAATAGCACTAAATGTATACTATCAATATCACCGATGAAATGATCATAAAAACAATAATATGATGGAAATCCAGAAAAGTCCCATAGAGTATATTCATTGGTGACTAAAAAAGAAAATGTTATGCAGAAAAAATAGTGAATTTCAATTTTCAATGTGATTGTTTAGTTTAATTTTCAAATATTGTATGATATTTTCAGCAATTCACTGATTTTAAATTTATTTTCCAAGGGAAAAGTGCATATATATGGATGAATTTACACATTTTATGGATTCAGCTCTTTGTGACAAAGTCTTCTCACTGTAGACTTACTTACTCATGTAGACAGTCGAGCTCAAGTATAGAAAGCTTGAATATTAGTATAATACTCGGACAATCGCACAACAAAACAAATCCACACCATTTTGATTTAAATGAAAATATTTTCGGTTAAAAGAATAGGAAAGTGTTTTTCACTTAAATCCTTAGTACCGATTCTATGATTATAGTCTCTCTGAAGGTTGGTTTCCGTAATATCCTGATCATTTGTTTATTGTAAATCGTGACTTATGAATTAAAGTATATATATATCCATTAGTTAACTTAATTATGTTTTTTCAGCAGAAAGAGAACACAAATGACACTTTTATAAAATATTATTTATATTGGGTATCTAAGTAACGACGCCAAACGCTCTGCATTCGGGAATCAAACCCAGAACCTTCGGTCTCCTGCAAGAACGCTTAACCTCTAAACTACTAAGCCGGCATCCGACAGTATTATTGTCTATTTTCAGTCAATCGACAATCCTGCGCAGACCCCATTGCTTGCCTGGAGTGGATAGCTATCTCATGCCCGAAACGAATTGGACTCCACTGGTCACAGCTTATCACTAGAACTCCAGAAGTTACATCTTAAATCTAGTCACTAATGAACACAAGATTATTATTGATGTAGGGGATTAGAGTCCAAACGTTCTATGTACCTTAAAAAATTGTTGCTCTGGTTTTTAGAACAGGCATCGTTCTCGTGACTTCCGGAAGAACTCGGCTTTCATCATGAGGCGTCACAACTCTTCTAAATGAAGACCTTCTAAATCCCAGGGCAGACTTTAAATGGTTTGAATTATTTTTTCTGGTAAGCGTTTTTTAGCGAGTTAGTTTTCTACGGGATGAGGTCGCTAACCCCATGCCCAACCCTCCTCCTTTACCCGGGCTTGCGACCGGCAGTAACTCTAGAGGAGATACAGGCTGAAGAGTAAATTAGGAAAAGACGATTGAAATGGATAACACACACGTTACGGAAATCACCAGACTACATCACGAGGCAAGCCCTAACTTAGAATCCTAAAGGGAAGCGGAAAAGAGGAAGGCCAAAGAACACATTACGTCGCGAAATAGAAGCAAATATGAAAGGGATGAATAACGACTGTAAAGGACTGCCCAGGACAGGGTTGGATGGCGAGTGCTGGTGGGCGACCTATTCTCCTCCACCAGGAGTAACAGGCGTAAGTAAGTAAGGGATTCGAGGAGATTAAAGGATTCTCATGGGCTAAATTGTGAGTTCAATCCATGTCGAGGATAAGACAGTTATCTATCGCAAGTAACAGATGAGGGTTGCGCAGTATAGTGAATCAATTGAAGTTAGAGATTATTACCACTGGAAGCCAACTCAGTGGTCTAAAGTTTAAACATTCTCGTGCAAGACCGAAGGTCGTGCGTTAGATCCCTGCGTGCGGGCTCGTGGATGGAGAATCCTGAGGACTACTGTACTAGGACGAACCGAGCGTTCAGTGTATCTAGGTTTCAATAGTTGTTTAACTACGATTAGTTCGTAATTTGAACCGTGAAAACTCAACAGTATCCACAAATTTGCTGTACTAATGTTGTATATATGAAAGTAAAATAAAATATTTATGGATTGTTGTCTATATACAAGTGACTTACTATGAACATCAATTCCATGTGTATAATTTTCATGTTGCGCTTCTATATCCCACAAATATGGATAATTATGACGATATACACTAGATTTCGGACCTAAATTAGAAAAGAACACAATTAACTGTAATTCTTGGAAAAATTAAGATTTTAACTAACATCTATCAATTGAATTTAGATATGACGATCAAATTTACCAAGTGAATTCTATCAAATTTCTGCTGATTGGTCCAAGATTATTGTGTTCATTTAAAACCTTTGCGTTTAATATTCAATCTTGTGCTAGATCTTGGATACATGTAGGTGAGTAGCTATGAACTCGGATAAAACAGCTTTCTAGTTTTCCCTAGTTTTTTATTATTTAATTGGTTTTAGTTTATTGCAAGAGGTACAACTGTTTAGTGATTTTATGAATAGAACTATGTGAAAATAAAAACAAACCTTAAAAATAAATATTGCCAGAGTTTGACAAAAAACAATTAATCACACTAAAAGACTAGGAGTAATGAATCTTGGTTTTAAGGCAGTCAGTGAAACTTTATAGTCTAAGTGTGTTTCCATATAATTGACAAATATATTCAGCAATCTAAACAATAGTGAATCGACACAACACTGACATTAATTAAATCCAAAGACGATAAGTTAGCATCCATTAAAGAGGCAAAATTACATAAACTATTGGAAGCCTAGTATCAATTCAATAACGAACTAATACAGTCCAAATGTGACTTATATTTAGAGTCTAAAATAACCAAACTACAAATATAGTCCACTATATATATGAACGAAATTTTATTTGATGCCAGTACTTTCTCATTTGGTCTTGGTACTTTTTCGGTGTATCAAGGTCAGGACATTAACACTTTCTTACTAAACACTATCTTAATCCGTTCTGCACACATAAGGCTATATTGTTGACAACACTAACGTGAAAACATTTACTATTCACACCTTGAAGTAATGTATACAGTCTGTTTAATCTCTTCCTTAAATATATGAACAATATCTTGTAGAACGCATCACTATTCTGTACGGTCCGGGAAGTGATTACCTTAACCTGAGGCCTAATAACTTAAATAACTATTTCTTAATCATTTAGTTTATCAACGACAGAAAACGACTGAAATCCTTTGGTATAAGTTCTAGATTAATATCTTTCGTTTCATTATTAGTGTAAAAAAAGCCAACAAAGGAAACATTCACAGAACTAAGAAAATCAAGATTCAATAGTTGTGTCAGCAAACAATGTGTCATTTGAATAAGATCCAAGCGAAAAAATAACTTTCGCTTTTTTCATCAGTCTTTTGAACAAAAAGGAAAATCAACGAAATATACAAAAATAATTTGGTCAAATAATATCCCTTTACAATTTTATCCCTAGACGGAAAACTACATTGTAATCTGAATCATTTGATTCTATAAAGAAAAATCCATAAATCACATTTTACCCAAATAAACCAGGGTATAATTCTGATTGACTTCACATTCAATGACCTTTACAGTTAAGCTTATTTTTCAAAATGGAAATCTTATCTCTTTAAATCAAAGTGAAGAGAAAATTTGGGAAGAATTTAAGAGGGACATTTAATGCCTAGAGAATTTGCCGCCTATTCATTAACAAGTTTAAAAAAGTCAATAATGTTAAGAAATGGATAAAGATAACAAAGAACTTATTCTTTGTTTCAATAGTGAATTATGCATTTACTTAAAGTTATTTTATTGTATTTAAATGTAGGATTGTATCATTAGATAATAACAAAAGTGTTGCGTAATTTTGGTAAAAATACAACAGTTGAACTCAGGTATTGTAATCAAGTCTAATGAAATGTTGACTCTTTTTTCAACAATCATATAATGTGTGCATATATGGACGTGTTGAGTGATTAGCAGTAGTCAGTAGGAAAGTCTGAAGCAGAATTTCGTGCTAGTTGACGCTCATCAACAAGGTGTATCTAAATTCTTGATTTGATTACTGTCACTTTATGTATTGGGACAGGGACACTCAGTTTCACAGCCTGAGAAGTCAACACTAAACTATTTAAACCACGATTAATCATCTGTAGGACTGGCTAGTGAGAACCTTTCAATTTGATAAAGTTCGATCAGTAAAAAAGGACTTAATAAATATGACATTTGTCATTACTCAGTGATCAATCAATAGTATTTATGGAGATTATAAAAGTGAAATATTAATTATATAAACCAGTTAACTTTTGAAAATAGATTATTCATCAGTTGTACTTTTTTATAGAAAGTTATGAGTGAATAATCTAAAGTGAAATGATTCCACACAAAATTGTATATAATACTCCAATAAGATGTTTTTATTATCCACGTTATTAATTGATCGTTTCTCAACAGAAAAATATATTTAACTTTCAATTTCATCTATATAATTCTTGTAAAAATTTTATCATGTAATCTAAGATGTTTGACACTAAGGACTCAGTAGCTGAGTGGATAACGCGATGTCGTTTGAAGCGAACGGTACTGAGTTCGAGTCCCAGAGTGAACATCACTTCTCTGAGATGGAGGTACATCCAGCTGACGAGTCCCAAACGGGACGAAACGCGCGTCCTGGATTCCACTGCTTGCCACTATCCATCATTGCTTACAAATAGCTTGTGAATTAAGGTAATATCGAGGCATACGTACAGTATACACATATGCCAATAAACAGACTGATCAATTGCAGTCTTAAACTTCAATGGGAAGATACAAGCCAAACAATACCAAGTGAATGTTTGACACTAAGTTAAACAAATAATCAAGATTTTTTTTTAAAATTTAATCTGTAAACTAACTTTTCCGATCAACAATGATCACTTTCTAAAAACAAATACTACGTACGTAAATTGATTTTGAACAAACAAAAGTTGTGAGGTTTTATTTGTCAAACATTAACTTTAGTTAGTATTTCATTGAGATTTCATACTAACTAGCGTGAGAGATCACCACAGCCAAGCCTTTGATCAAACAAAAATTAACCTTTTGGTTTATCTTAAAACAATGTTTTCTAATTACTAAATTTTTAACTTCAGAATCAATTGGTGCTACAAAACTTGTTTTAAGAGGTTTCAAAATTACAGAATACTAAGTACGTAACTCATAATCAAATTATTTAACCTGAAAATATCATACACAATTTCTTAACATCTATTCATGATGAATAAAAAATTCTCATTTCCAAAGTCTTTTCAATTACAGTTTATCTGTTGAATAAATTAAAAGAAATACTTACTGACTTCTCCAGTTAAACCGGCAAAATCTGTTAGTTTCTTTTTTAAATATGCCGATATTGGACCAGTATAAAGAGAATGTGTTAATTGAGTTTTACCAACAAGACTTGAACCAAATAATTTAAGCTTTATTCTTGGCATACGATGTGTACCTTGTCTTAATTGTTCAATCCAAGCTGTACGTTTTTCCTTGTAAAATTTTAGTATTAATTATAATAATGAAAACGAAATGAATTAAAATTTCAATTTGGGTTAAATTATTTAAAATGAAGACGATGTAAATGATGAAGTCGATGCGTTTCATTGATTCGATATGTACACGTTAAATAATGAATATTATTAGATCTAATTTTTTTCTAATATTCGGAAGATTTTCTGAAATTCAGAGTTATATTGTACCACTAAACCATAGTGAGAAGTACATATATAAAGAGCAGTGCCTATAACTAGCGAGCTTAACTGAAACATACCTAAACGTCATAAAGACGTAGAAATAAACGTGTTGGTGGTACGTAACGAGTGAAACTGCATCACACTTTACGAATATTTATAAATATATATGTAAATGTAATAGAGAAAGAATTATTGTATGCTTAAGAAAATCTGATCGATTGCTTGACCTGGTGATAACTGCTCATAAATCCAGATTACTGATGTTCAAAGTTCCATGTACATAATCATGAAAAGACTAGATAACTTGATAGTAAAATATTCCATGTTACAAAACTACACAAATGTATTCTAAATATTTTGCACAAAAACACATGACTAAAATCTTTTTGGAACATAAGTGGATCTCGTATTCAGACTTCCAAGGTTATTTGCCAAATTACAAAATTAAGACTTTATCACAAGACTTATTATATATTAATCCCATTTTAATCTATACTGAAAACCACTACAGTAATAGTCATTTTTGTGTTGGTTTGTTTATTATAATGAAAGTAGTTGTACAGATATTCACTAATTTCATAGGATCTTGATTTATACTGTCTGCTATGTCGCCTACTTTGACTTAGCATTTTTCTATTCCCTAGTATGCTTCGGACACCATACTCCACTCGACTGTTTTCTAATTCAAAACGCCACCTAGGCAAGAACACAACTGTATTCCACCAAGTTAAATTGGGTTTACACAGTAAGAAAATGTCAGTGTATTTGTAATTTTCACTTCTCCGCTTATTCACGAAGGCTGATTAGTTAACAATTGGTCAATAAGCATATTCCAACGTAATCCTGTTAGAAACACGCTTTAATCGAATTTCTATCTTGTTAAAACTGTCCAAAGTGAGCTGACTTTTGATGACAACAACTAATAATAAACACAAAACATACGGTTTAAATAGCTGGCTTCAAGTTTAACAATGATGTTTAAAGGTGCATTATATTCATCATCAATATTCTAATTCCGTGCAATTTTTCTAATTTATAAATTTAATGAAGTTGAAAATGACAATCGTTGTAGAATAATAGAAATCAACGAAGTATTATTCTATTACCATTGTTGTTTCCGCTCTAATACAATATTTTAACTGATATAATTTTATGAAAAGTAAATATCCGTCTTAAAAGTTTAAAAAGAATTTAAACAGTAAAACAATGAAGTAACACTAACTTATATAATTTCATTTATATTCCGGTTGATTGTTTACAATCCTTATCAAATCACGGACACATTTCAAATATATTTTAATTCATCAGAAAAAGTTTTGTGGAGATTTTTAAAAATTTCACTTGTTGAAATCGTGAGTCAATTGAAACGGCCGTCCAGTGCTTCCAGTTCTTCCATGGTGGTCTAGCTTCAATTGACTCATGATTTCAACAAGTGATATTTTAATTTATTAAAACTCCAACTGGTGAAATAAATCGTTATGCGAATTTAATTATAATTAGTTAAGTAATCTGTTTGAAACGTGTCTTCTATTACTCAAAAAAGAATATTTTAAATATTGTATCGTAGAACCCAAAAATAGGAACAAAAATCAAACTAATGGGAGACACAACCAAAAAAAGAAATAAACAATGACAAATTGAAGGTCAACAAGAACCAATCAACATCGAGGTCTACAGGACAAGCTGTGAAACACATAGAAAGAAATTCGAACGCTTCACTTCTATCTGAAGTTTGTGCTGATGATGTCGTTCAGAAAAACAATGAAAGCTCTACGACCAAACCATCCAGCTCAGAGAACAAAACTCCATCAAAAATAGTAGAACCCAATTAAACTTCGTAAAATAAACCATAATTAAATATTGTCAAAACTAAATGAATGAACATAACAATAGAATATTTGCAAACAAACTTTACTTCTTACATAAAAAAAATGAATACGTGTAGTACTAAGCATGCTAAAACTAGGTTCTTAGAGGTTAACACATACCGGTTTCATTTTTGTTAATAACATGCCAACTTTTGAATGACCTTGAGCATATGCCATAACATCTGGTGTTATACCATTCTAAGAAATGAAATGAACAATTGAATAAGGAAAGCTCACATTTTGACTTGAAAAATTTATGTTCTGAGATAGATTTACGAGCATTTATTCTCTCAATAATACTTAGACATTGTAGTTTTATGAATAACATACATACCCAGTCAGTAAGTTTAGAACAAGGTGAAATCTTGATGAATCATCCACCTGAGCTACAAATCTCCACCATCTGAAGGTGAAATCTCATACAAACGTGCTTTGGTACTAGGTAGTAGACTGTTTATTGGTAAAGTAAGATATAAATGAATAATAAAATTCCTAGCTAGTTATTAACAAACGAAGCTGAATATCAATTCATGTAAGATTTAATCATAATTTTTTGTCAAACATTAAAGATATGAAACTTGTAACGTTTTAAACTGAATGCTTTATACATGTGTTCTCGAAAGTACCAATTATTTTTAAGGTATCATTTGGAAAATATTCACTGAATTTGTAATCTTGTCATTTTTACTACAACAGATCGAGGGAATTTCATTTCTTTGAAGTTTATTGTTATAACTTAATGCATGTTAATCCGCTAACTGATAATCTATTATTGAATATTAGCCATTAAACACTTCCAGTACTTTTACATCATGAATCGATTGAAGTTTTACATACCAGCTCAGTGGTCTAGAGGTTAAATGTTAGTGCACGAGACCAAAGTTCCTGGGCTCGATTCCCGGGTGGAAGTTTGTGGATGCGCACTGCTGAAGAGTATCATGCTAGGACGAAACGGTCATCTAATGCTTTCAGGTTTTTAATGATAGTCTAGCTAAGATTATTTCATGATATAAACTACAAATAGATTTATCTAAAATTTTACTTATTTCGTATGTGGCATCCATCACAGTGACCTCGTTTGGGGTAACATTAAAAACTAAGGAGCACTGAGGATTTATTTTATTCCAGTACAAGACTCTCTAGTGGTGCACACCAACAAACTCATCCACGGATAGAACTCACGAACAGTAGGTCTCACAGAACCCACTTAACCATTAGAACCATTGGTCCGAAGTTTAAAGGCAGAATTTCCACTTTCATCAATTTATGGTATGGCACGACGATCATTCTTACCTGATCTAAAGAATATTTTTTCAAAGTATAAAGTGATATTAACAAGTCAAGAAAAAATATTTTATTCTGTTAGACAACTTACACGACTTGTAATACTGGGATCAGCACCAGCTAAGATAAGACAACGAACAGTCCTTAAATGTCCATTTTTAGCTGCCAAATGAAGTGGAGTGAATTCCGACTGAAAGAAAAAATAATTACCATTACCGTTTATTTCCGTCAATATCATTGTTCATGGCTATGTCATTAGCATTTAAAAACAAGGACGTTTATTAAGTAGCACCGAAGTTAAACATTTGTAAAATTTTTTTTAGATTTAAGGACAGCCATCTTAGCATACAATACTAACTTCTCATTATAGACAATTGAATAAATATATGAACTGTGATTGATTATGTTATCTAGCTTGTTAATAAAAACGAATCATTCAGATTGTAAATGATCAAAATCACATTTTGATAATACGTATGTAAAGACTATTTTAATTTGACTCACAAAAGTTATGATATTTACTTATCTTTTAAAAAAGTTGTGTGTAAATAAAAATCTTTCTCAAAACGCTTATTATCTATCAATATTCTAAATTTATGGCGGTTCAATTTTTTTCACGGAAAAAGTGGTCAGTAGTAATTGATTTTCCACCAAACTGCATCACGAAGCAAGCGCTAACTTGGAATCCCAAAGTGAAACGAAAAAGAGAAAGGCCAAAGAATACACTGTATCAGGAATTGGAAGCAGATATGGAAAGGATGAATAGTTAATAAACTCTCGTTCATTCTTTTTTTCAAAAGACTTCGAAAGTTATCAACTTCAATGCACTATTAATAATTACATTTCATTCAATATTATTTCACAATTCACTTCAAGGTAGTGAGTAAATATAATGCGTTTGAAAATTCACTGTGGCCTATATAACCAGAAACGTGTCTGTATTTATTAGCCATGCAACTTATGAGAATTCGAGGGGGGCAAAGCTATTCAATAACGAACTTCATTGACAGACGATCCAAGTATACATGATTTATTAAACGACCAGATTTCTGACTAATTACAGAAAGTTGTTTTACCTTCGCTGTGAGTATATAAACGAAAATATATATTGATATCATGAAATTACTTAAGCTAGACATTCAATGAAAAAAGGAAGCTCTAGACATCTATTTTGTTCTAGTATGGGACTTCTTAGTAATGCGCATCCACAAACCCTTCATAAGGAATTGAATCCAAAAGTCTCAGTCTCGCGCAAGAACCTCTAGACCAGTGGATCGGAATCCAAATGTTTACATGTATAACTTCAGTCAGTTCACAATATTGCACAGTTACCTTCCACTGTTCTCGTCGTGCAACTACTTCACTTCCAACACATTTGAACTCGATTGGTCATGGCTTCTCATTGGAATTCTATAATTACCTATTGAAATTGATTACTGGAGAGCATGAAATAATTATTAATGCCTCCTGTTTTTCAGTAGACGTCTAGTGTAGGTCTTTCCATGATATTCATAACATTCAATCATCTTCAAAAACCTCTAATACGGACAGAAACATGTATGTTTCTTTTTAATATCATATAAGCTTCTTAGTCACAATTTTATATCGCAATTACAAGTGAATAAATTAAGATCAGTGAAAATGAAAAAAAATTGATCAAAATAATTAAGCGTTATTGCCAAATACTGATCAACAGTTTTTCGAACTGTTACTTCAGTTTACATAAACTGTTGAAAACCACTAAATTAATAAAGGTGTTGGTTTAATACTGCATAAAAATAAGGCAATTTTTTCACAACTACTTATTATCACTTCTAAAAATAATTAATCCAGTTAGAATACATTGATTTTAACAAAACTACGAAGTTTATAGTGAACAATTTAAAACAAGAACACAAAACAATGTATTGTAATTATAGATCTTACTGTGTTGAAGATATCAACATTTGATACCGCCTTGGAAAGCAGTTTAACAATAAGATAGTCTCCTTGAATAGCAGCAAGATGAAGTGCAGTATTACCTTCCTAGAATATGAAGAAAATGTTGATATATGACAAAATGGAACAGTAGAAATACCTTGAAATCCTTATGGGTTGCAAGACATCAAACCTTAAAATACTAGTATAGCTGTTTCCTAATAGCCTGCAACAGCTGCTTTCTTTTTTTTATGATCTTCCAAAAATACAACTATTAAAAGACATGCTCAGTACATATATATAACTGGAACTGAGTATGTTAAAAATAATGTATACTGGATTTTCCAGTATTTTCATTTCGGCGATGAATTTACTACATTCTGAATATCAACAATACTGATTAATTAGGCCAAATACCTTTTAAGGATATTAACATTTCCCAAGTACAGTATATGGAAATATGACATTCACTAAACAAAACGCAATAATCTAACTGAAATTTCTATCTGCGTATCAAAATAAAAATGACAATTGATCGATTTTCAATATACCTGTTGTGTAAGTCACAGATTTGAACACTAAATTGAAACTGAACAAAGTAATAACTAAACAACATTTTGCAAAGAATCAAATCTATGGGACTAATAGATAGTTCAGGAGTACTAACGATGTTGGTCTAATTGTATGTAAATGGTAGTAATTTTATATACAGACTGGGTAACAATAAATCCAGTTCTGTGTTTTCAATGACTAAGTTCATTAATATTGGTATTTGCCGGTGTCTGTTTACAGGTGTACAGATATAATAAAATCATACGGATAATAATGATGATGAGACTTTAAAAATCATTTATTAACTGTATTTTTTAAACTTTGGCAGTTTCTATTAAATTAATAGTTTTAACTGTGATTAGGCACTCTAGCAGAGATATTCATTTTGATAAAAAAAATTGATTGTAAATTAGAATTTAGCAGTGATTTTTTTGAGACAGGAAATCCCAACAAAATAATTTGGGAGTAAAAGCGAAGCGTATTCCCCAAACAATTTCTTGTCTGGGTATTTTTAATAGACAAAAACAAACTATTCGATTATACGAAATCGAAAGCAATTAGAAAAACTGAGGATATATGCCGTTTCTAATGTCAAGCACAATGGATTGAAGCAAGAAGTCGCTGTAACTTGATATATTATTACTAACTTGAAAGATAAAATTAACTTAATAAAAAACAAATCGCTGTATGATATTTGCCACTGACTATTGACTGATTAGTAGCAATATAAAATTCAATGTGGCATTCATGATAACGGGTAATGTTCATACTACAATATTTCCTGAATACAAAACGTCAGGTAGTCATTTTACTCATAAAGTTTGAAAAAAACGAGCACATTTGCAAAAAGGTCACTTTAACCACAGGCAGACTTTATCAAAAAAGGAATAACTCTATGTAATACAAATATTAAAGTAAGTTAACTAATTCAGGTGGAGTTTTGTTCTCTGAGCTGTGAGTCATATGTGGAGAGATCCGAACAATTCACTTGTACCTGAAGTTTGTGCTGATGATTTTGTTTAGTAGAACAATTAAAACTTCATGACCAAACCATCCAGCCCAGAGAGAAAAAACTCCACCAAAATTATCCACCTAAGCTACAAATCTTCTCCAGCATCTCAAAATTAACTAATAAACTGGAACAAATTTTGATACGACAAAGGAAAAAGATACTGTATTTAAGGGAAAACGCGATTTCTTATATGTATAGATGTTATGCTTCAGGATTGGGTTACATCGACACCCGAACTAGTGATAGGGAGTGAAGTAGTTGAGTGTGTCGACCGCTTCACTTATCTTGGAAGTCTCATCAGCCATTGTGGTCTGGTGTGTGACGAAATCTCAGCACGGATACAGAAGGCTCGACTAGCTTTTACCAACTTGCGTCATTTATGGCGTAGGCGAGATATCCGTCTATCAACCAAAGGACGTGTTTACTGAGCAGCAGTTCGTCCCGTCCTACTTTATAGCAGTGAAACATGGCCAGTAAGAGTAGAGGATATTCGTAGGTTACTAGTATTCGATCATAGGTGTCTTCGAAACATTGCTCGTATATCATGGGACCATCGAGTAAGTAATGCAGTTGTTAGGAAACGGGTACTAGGTAAGGATGGAAAATCAATTGATGACGTAGTGAAACTTCATCAGTTGAGATGGCTGGGACACGTGTTACGTATGCCCAACGACCGACTACCTCGACGTGCTATGTTCAGTGATATAGGAGTAGGTTGGAAGAAACCTAGGGGCGGCCAAACCAAAACATGGCACAAGTCCATAAAGTCACTGACAAGTGGACTGAGTCATGTTGGTAGGTGTAGACTACCTGGTTGGGGACCACGAGATGATAGCAACCGATGGTTAGAGACCCTGAATGATATGACTCAAAATCGTTTGCAATGGCGCAGGTGCATCCACTCTTTGTGTTCTCCCAAATTCTAATCTTCTGAATTCTTCATGTCCCTTTTTTCCTCTTTCCAAATTTATTTCACTGGATTATACTCCTTGAATAACATCTCCAAACCCTAATCTTCCCGATTACTGCTTATACTCTTGCTACCTCTACCACTACGGGATTTGAATCGACAACTGCATCTCTGTGCTAAGGTGGTGTGGCAACTCGAACTGATGTACGTACGTACGAAGTTCTACGTTGTTACTGACTGACTGATAGATGTTATCAATTACAATCATTTGGCGTCAAATATGGTACAAGTAAAGATGCTAAGATTATTTGCTTTTAAAATTGAGTACTAATTAAAAATGTCATAGAAACTAGATACAGAATAATAAGTAAAATGAAAAGCTTTGCATATCCTGAAAACAATTGTAAATAGTTTTGAAATAGTAAGTCAATAGAATGGAAGATATTGGATAATTTACTAAAATGGTAGAAAAACAGGCGAATTTCTGCTTTCCTGTATATTTGATTGAAGAGTTTCTTCGCAAATATCAAGGTATTTAGCAGTGCAGAAAAGAAGCACATATATGTCCTTCTTCTTTGTTCAAGTTATAGATACTTTTTAAGTAATAACTACATCGTAATCTAACGGTTTTTATTAGTAACATGTTTGCTTATAACACTACGTTTTAGGTATAGCCGTTCAAGATAATGTTCATATACCCTTTTTGAAGGAATATGTAGTAAATACTAACTAAACATAACTTCACAGAAACAGTTTATTCACCACACATAAGCTCACAACAGAAAAACTAAAAGATGTGATCTCATTTAACAAGTGAATAGTAGGTATCATCAAAATATCTGAGAAGTAAGGCACATATCACAGTGGTCAAAAGAGACGACAACTTATTAAAGCCATGAGATCACAATTAGAGGCTGAATACCAGTGATTTCAATTATAACTCTACCACGAAGTACTATTTATCAGATGTGCCTCCTTGTAACAGTTTCTTCACATGGAATGTTAGCAATTTCATTTTCAGCTAGCTTGCCAAGAGAACAAACAGTTTCTGAAAGCCCTAAATTGGTAATAGGTATTTCAGTTGTAAGTGGATTCAATTGCCTCTTATATGGTAGGTAAAAATAATTTTTTAAGGAACCCACTGATATACACGTTATGTTTCAAGAATTCACATTATCATTTATCATTTTTATGGTAAAACGATTCAAACGAATCGAAAATTCGAGCGAAATAGAAAACCAGACTACTTATTTTCTTATTAATTAGTTTTTTAAATAATTCAATTTTATTTGCATTGTTGATAAGCTTAGAAAATTTTATGTAATTGGAATGCAAAAGCGTATCGGTATTTTTTTAGGATCAATGTAACCCCTTTAACCGTTTAGATGTTTAAGACAATATTTCATTGGAATGTAATCAACTTTTAATTCTGTATTACATTAGTCATAAATGACCAATTCAAAGCATTGGACTTCTTCGAATTCTTAAACTGTCAAATTAAACGTAAAATCTGGTGTTCATCGAGTTTAAACAACACGAAAAGGAAAAAGTCTCTCTCCGTCAAAATGCTAACAACTTAGTAGAACAAATCTTTTAATGTATATATTTATTCATGTTTGTTTTTTTAATAAATTTTAATATATTCCACAGTTACTACATCATTTTAATCTCATTTTTACTACTTTTCCTTAGAAATCTTTCTTACCTCATCTGTAATATCAACCCTTGCACCAGCTAGCAGAAGAACACGCACACAACTCTCTGAACTAGAGATTACAGCGCATAACAAAGGCGTTTTCCGATCCTGTTAAACAGAAATAAGGTTGATAAAGATTATTGAGATGATAGAGAATAGTTGAATACGGTTGTTTTGCATAACAAGTATGTTTGGTAAAAATGCAACTCAACGACTTTCATAGTTTCAATCACGAATTAATCTTAGTTAGACCATCATTGGAAACCTGGAAGCACAACTCCGTATCCAGGAATCAACGTAGGATCGTGGATGTGCACTGCCGAGGAACCAAATAATAGGACGAAACGGTCATCCATTGCTTCCAGATTCTCGATAGTGGTCTAGTTCAGACCAGTACGTGATTTAGACTATATTAGTAAATCAATAAATATCAACGCATCAAATAGTGAATCGTAATTATACCTACTACTATATGATTTATATTAACTAACTAAACAAATTGAATTTGAGAAATCTTAAACGAAATATTTACTTTGTTTTCAATACAATGAAATGCAAATATAACTTCAGTTTTCTCCAAAAAACATATGAACAATACAATAAAACCAGTAGTTGCAGGATATATATCATGTATACATTGTCTTCCTTATCATCTTGAATAGAGCAATAACAAAGATTCAAGTCGAATGACATGAATTCGTTTTATTCTGTTAGGTTCAGGTTACGTGCTTACAATCTATGATACTTAAACATCATTATCAACTAAATAAATTGAAAGCACTTACACAAATTAATAATCATTACAATTTTGATCTTAGGTCATTGTTTTCAATCATAGTAAACAAAACATCTAAACATAGTGTTATACAGTAGAAATAAATGCAGAAAATTTAATTAGTATAAGTGATTGTTTATCAGCCATACACAAAACAGAAGAATTCTTTTTAAATATAGATAAAAAGAAAAGAAGGAGTCTGGGAAAGAAAACAATTACTGATAACGTGATGAAGAAGAAGTTAATCCAAACGGAAAGTGATGAATAGATAAGTGAAAACATAAATAACGTCGAAGAATAATTACAATAATATTTAATCAGGTGATCTGTGAAGATGAACTACAAAAATTAAAAATAATGTTTTCTTCATCATAGACAAAAAATATACGGAAATGTAATGAACACCTGAAAACGGCAACGATAAACGCTCTAACTTTGCCAATAAATGGTGCCAATATAAATTCCACAAAGTGCATCTATTATTGTGGACATATTTTGTAAAATACTATTGAATCGAGAGAAGTAAGAATGCTAACATACAACATTCAGTTAGCTCAGTACCTGACGATATCAGGTTATATTTCATGTTTGTCTTAACGGGACAATTAAAACGTCACATTCGTAAGCTAAATTGAATATAAAAAATTTAGTAAGCACTAATGAAATATTAATTTCATTTACTTTATTGCGAACTTCTAGAGGACCATCAGCATTGCAAAGTGACAATGCTACATCTGGATGCTTCGTTAAACATGCCAAATGTAAAGGTGTATTGCCATTCTATTAAGAAAAAAATGTTATGAAATAATAACGACATTAAACAAATAAATAATTTCAAAGATACTGAGTTACTAAAATATGATTTTAACCGATAAAACATGACAATCAAATTTTTGTTAGTTACAAAAATAATATCATTCTGAATGGTTCATTATCATGATGTTTAGTGAAAAGAAACTATCATGTAATAATTAACAGCTGGTATATTCATTTTTTAATAACAATAAACTTAAAAATAGTGAGGAAGAATGACTGACATTTAATGCTACCAAAGCTTATAAGAGAGTAGTTGTTTAGGCTATAAAATATTTCAGTAGTTGAAATCATGAGTCAATTGACCACCATGGAAAACCTGGAGGCACTGAACGGCCGTTTCGTCCTAGTATGGGACTCCTCAGTAGTGAACATCCACGATCCCGCCCGCCTGCGAGATTCGATCCCAGGACCTATAAGTCGCGCGCGAGCACTTAAACATTAGACCACTAAGCCGGCACTCAACGGTGTTAATGTCTAACTTTAACCAATCCATGAAACTGCACCACCGTACACTGTACGCCTCTAGGACGAAACGACCGCCCAGTGCTTCCAAGTTTTCCATGGTGGTCTAGCTTCAATTGACTCATGATGTCAACTACTGAAATTTCCAGAAATTTCCACAAAACCCCTTCTGATTATAAAATATTTCTAACTTATGGACAAACAGTATTAATCTCTCTTTACAAAAGAAACTTACAAATTATTCATTCATATACATAGGTCTTACATTTCTACTACATGACTTTTTCTATTGATTATTATTATTATTATCCATCTTAAAACAATAATAACCAATCACATCGTTTTTAAAATTATAATTAATATTGGGAAACAGGTTTGAGGACTGAATAGGAGAAAGACTGAAAAAAGCCGCTCACTAATGGCGGAGGCCGGTGTGATGTATAAATTTAAACTGCAATTGTTTTGTTGTTATTTTGTATGCGTATTATTTTTAAGTGTTGACCGAGACCTATAGATCAAGTTGAAATGTGACCGCTGGTCAGTGACTTGACATCGCATGTAATATATTGATATATCGGTTGGTTAGAGGTACTTGACAAGAAATCCTGTACTTAGGTTCCAAGCTATCCAGGACTCGAGAGCACGGTCTACCTGGAAGATTTGATCTCATGTCACTTAATTTCACAATCTAAAATTTTACCATTGAGATATTTGGTCTGCAACTGTAATATCTACAACTGACTGATCACTGAGTAGCGACTAATATAGTTTTTATCTATTCCTCTTAGTGCTGATCGAAGTTATTGAACCAATTTGCTAATGATACCATTCTTCTAATCTGCAGGATAATTTCCACAACAAACAAACAACTGAAGAATTATTAAAATTAATTTAGCATTGACTAGCTATTATAGCCTAGTTTGAGACTTCGACAGTATGCACTGACAGCCTAAGGAAACTACCGACTCTAGTACTTCAATGATTAGTGCACTCATTCCAAGAATTAGTGTTTATTTTTAATTGTCTAATGCTCTCTGGTTTTCAAAGGTTCTTCAGTTTATTCAATATTATTGATGAGTAACTGTCTCACCCCCGGATTAGTTAACTTCACATATCAATAAATATTCACGTAATCAACAGGGATATAATTTACTGGATAATTTAAAAAACGAAATGATGAAGTGATTGGTTTCTGTATGTTCATCAGCAGTAAGTTACAAAAATATGAGGATTACAGTGAAAAATCACCAGAATAGCCTCTAACCAATTAAATATCTTATTGAATATAAGAATAAACGTAGGCACTAACCTATTAAATGATGAAGGATAGATAATTGATTACAAAAAACTGAAAAATTCCGAAACGTTTACTGCCGTATTCCACACCACGTTAATTAATCCTAACTAAAACGTTTATTAGTTTTCAATAAATCATTTTACAGAATAAAGAACATGCACTGTTCCCTGGTTAACAAGTATTAAATTCAAGTACCATGGTGATGAATTATTCAAAAAACAATATTTAACATACGAAATTGTTACCGTTCTATACGTACTACTTATAGATCAAAAGCAATATATAGCATTGTTACTAAGCCCTGGCATGTACATTTTTGAACTGATTAGGCTACGTAAACTAGTTCACTGTAGATAAGAATGTTATTTTGGTCCTTAAAAGTTTTCCTTATGCTTCTTGTATGTACAACATATAACTTTTGTGAATGTATCTGCCTACTTTTCTATTCGTCTCACTGGCTTGAACACTAATTACTAAAACTATACACCCTCTGTCTTCCCTTAAACTATGAGATTAAAATTGCTTTATATCTTTCTTTCTACCAACCAATTCTTTCTTCCTGTACTATATCATTAAATGCAATCTTTTTTTATATATTACCACCATTGAATTAACTACTTTTATGAATTCGCTGTTCATCTTGTTGTGCTGATGAGGTGTGACAACTTGGACCGATGCATAAATGTGCCTGGTCCTAAGTTGTAGTTGATTGACTGACTGAATTACTTTAACTATTTATACTGAAGTGACAATAACTCATCTATTTACACGTTTATTAGAATGGTAAGTGATTCACTCTCCTATATTGATATTTGCTCTCTTATCGCTTCATTTGAGATTTGCGCCTGAAATTAATTATTCTAACTACTTTGTTTCACCTGCTGTGGATTCATACACTAATTTGAAGCTATCGCGGTAACGGTTATCCCAGCGATTGGTAAACGAATAACACAATAAGCTCTCCACAGGCCACTATAGACAAAAAAATAATTTCACATAATTGAAAACTTAAATAGCTATAAAATAAACACGATCACCACACTTTAAGGTTAAAATATATGATTTAAAGTTCATGCAAATACTTTATGCTCAATGTATCGGGTTGACATAAACAAATTTAGCTATTTTTACTATTTCAAGTTGTTATTAAACATACAACTTTTAGTAAAACAACGCATTTATATTTAAAAACTGCCATACCATGGTATCTCAACAGAACTTTCAGAAAATTACTTGATTTAAATCTGACAAACTTGAAAAGATTTTGAAATTTCAATATTTCCATTCATACATTAGTAGTATTTAGATCATATATTAAAAACTCTGCAATTAAGTTACATTGTCTCATCGATTTTTTAAGGCTAACGATTTATTAGCGAATGCAAGCTAAGATGATAAAAGTGTTGTTTACCTAGTTTAGATTATGGACTGACCTTGGATAACAACTGAGAACAAGAAGGTAGTGAACAGCTGCTTCATCCTGGTATGAGACCTCTAGGTAATGAAGATCCACAGCCCCACTGAGGGTGGAATTGAGGCCTTTAAACTTTTGTGACGATTGTCTTGTTCTTAATTTAAAGAATCATTCTCATCAATTACTGAACGATAACCAATATCATTTCATTTTGTCTTGCCTGATGATTAAACCTTTACTGGTCAACTTGCTGTGCTAACACTAAGCTAGGAATTTTAATCTGCCGATTAGGATAATTGACAAGAAGCTATAAATGGAAATATTTTGTGATAGTCTTCATTTTTTACTCAGAGATATTCTCATCATGGGATTTGAACCAAACTAAGTTCGATTTCATTTAGTCAGAGGCATTCAGTCAGGCATTACTACAGAACTATTCCGGGAGTAAATGATTACTTGTTTAAACTTATCAGTATGTATAAATAAATGTTGTTTCGATTAGTTCTTTCTGCTTATCGACTCCTAAATATTATACTTTTCCAGTAAATTTAATTAAATCTTAAAACAAAATTCCTAATTTAAAAATATGAGATCAAACCAAAATATTTATTCTAGAAGTTAATTATTATTCTTTGTTGAAATCATGAGTCAATCTAAGTTAGACCACCAATGAAAACCTGGAAGCACTGGACGCTCGGTTTGTCCTAGTATAAGACTCCTCAACAGTGCGCACCCACAATCCCATACGCGGAATTCGGATCCAGAACCTTTGGTCTCGAGCACGAACACTTAACCTCTAGACAACTGAGCCAGCATTCAACGGTGTTAACGTCTAACTTCAATCAATCCATGATCTTGAGCAACCTTTCATCTATTGCTTGAGGTGGATAACTGCTGAGGAGCCCCATATTAGGAGGGAACTGTCGTTCAGTGCTTCCAGGTTTTCAATGATGGACTAGCCTAGTTCGGTTCATGATTTCAATTGTGAAAATACTAAAATTTCCACAAATCCCTATACCGATAATTATTTTCTGAACAAGATTGAATTTCCTTTGATATAGTTTTCCAGATATACACCAATTTCATATCACTTATGCAATTAGAAGATCGGTTCAAATAGGGAATATCAACTATACAGTTGGCACTAAATTGTTGGATCTGTGGGTTCTTTTTTCTGTTGTTTCAAAATCGAAAATAATTGTAAAAAAAATTCCAATTATACAAACTAATCAATTAAGTGGAATAATTAGATCTAACCACTTAGTTACATCTTTGTCTGTTGAAATGTCAATCAGAAAAATATCTTACATGATCGATACAGACACGAGTACACAAACTACTATTACAGTTAAAATAATAGACTTTACCTTGTCAACAAATTTGAGTAGATTTGATCCCACATCAATAATATAGTCAACAATAGGTAATAGTCCAAATTTTGCAGCTATATGAAGCGGTGTTTCACCATCCTATTTGATCAATAATAAAATAAGAGAAAATTATTTAATCTTTTTAACGAATAAATATACGAAACATAACAGTTTTATGTACATCAGTTTAATGGTAATTTTTAATTGTTTTTTTCGCTTTAAAAGCATTAAAACATTTTATGATTCTAAAAGGTTGTAAAATTAATCTTTTATATCCATTAAAGATTCATAAACACCAATGTATCATATTGAATAAAAGTGGTTAATATAAAAACAAAGTCATATAGTAAAGTAAATAAATTACGTTGTTTTAATCATCGGATCGCTTGATTACTCAGATATCGTGATAATGTATTGCAAGTGTATAGGGACGAGACAATCAGAATCATGACGGCAACTTTTGGGTTTTCACAAGAAATTCAAATACTATGGTATAACAAGCAGTGAGAAATTCTTGTGTGTACTACTCAAAACGATTAAAACGATTTAAAAGAAAGTATATTTTGTCATCACGGAGTGAAAATAGTAGCGTTAAACGCACCAAAATTTCAATTTTCTCTCTGTAGATTGTATGTAGTACCACAGAAAGCGATCCTAATCAGGAACAATGCGAAGGTCGCCAAAATTCTTTTTGAGTGCTTAAACTCACTCTGAAAGATGGATGATCTTTGTGGATCAACTTACACGTCGTTGCTTATTCGATGTACAAGAAGAAAAACTTTTAGAAAACTATAATAGAAGAATTATATGAAATGTCCATAAGTTTAATGTTTTCTTTTCATAAACTTTTCATTTATAATAACTGTTTTCGAAGTGACTAATAACAGCTTGAAATTTGTCGTGTTTATTTCAAAAATCGGTCAACCTCGCCTCTACACTATACTCTTACCTAATTCACTTCATTACTCTTAGTTAAAATCCTTTTGGAAAAAATATTTTTGCCTAGTTCTGATTCGATTTTTGCTTGTTTTGACCCCTTAGTAGGAATCACATAACACTTATGACATTGACTTCTCATTGTTAAAAGCATTATAGCTCCAGGAAATTCTCAATCTCCTGTTCTAGAATATTTACATAATCAATGACTTTCACATTTCTTGTATATCCATTGTTTTTTATTGTCTTATTACTTCAAACATATTTTCAATGTCGATCAGTTGTAAACTCTATAAAATTCCATGCACTTCAATTTTTTCAAATAAAGTGAGATGACCGAAGATTTGAGTGCTGAAATATTATTACTAAGCAACATTTATGTTGAATATTCCATTTTTCATCCATGTTACACACTGTATTAAAAAGAACCAAAATGCACCTTGAATTCCAATTTCGTTCAATAAAAAAATTGAATATAAAACAAAATAATCTAGCCTAACGAGAAAATTCTTCTAGATTTAAAATTCGATTATGTATACTAGTCGGATAAACTTGCTAGACACTTATCTGGTGTTAGTAGGATAATAACAAAAACCACATTACAGCAGGCTAGCTAGTAATAAAGGAGTCAACCTTTCTACAGACAAAAAAGACAGTAAAGGAGGTTGAGCGTTCGCTTGCAAGACGGAAGCTCCTGGGTTCGAGTCCCATATGCGGAATCGTGGATGCGCACTACTGAGGAGTTCCATACTAGGATGAAACAGCCGTCTAGTACTTCCAGGTTTTCAATGATGGTCTAACTTACATCGACTCATGAATTCAACTATTAAAAGATAAATTTTTTAAATAGTCGTAAAACCACATATTTTATAACTTGACACATTGAGAGACCGGAATATAGAATAATTTAAACTTAAGTTTTACAATTAGGCATCTAACGGTATTTTCCAATAAGTAAGCGTTTAAATGGACGAGTGCAAAAAGACGTGAACCAATAAAGGTGAGTATAAAATAGGGAGACTACTTAACAGTACGATAAAATAATCCAATATATATTGACTGACTGAATATTGTAAATCAAGTGTGTATCAAATGTCATATTTAATAATGCAAGGCAGATTTAAATCTTATTTATATTTGTAAACTTTTACAAACTGGTTTAATATGTCGGAAGGTTTAAGTTCAAAATGTATGCTACACCGAGTAGATAGACTAGAATTGATCTACTCCTACAATCTATTTTGTTCAGTTCTCTAGAGATGAGCATATATTAATTCATACTATTTTGTTCATTATAATGTAATACAATGAATTGAACTACATAAAATCTGAGTAAACAAAGGGGTCAAGGTCCTTGATGTTATACCGGCATACGAATAAGGACACTGTTTCAGTAATTCCAGATTCGGAGTTGCAGAAAATATCAAAATCCATTTACTACCCACTTCATTACCATGTAGTAGATAATCCTCACCTATCACAATAGTCATAAATTTATGATAAGTCTTCCAAGTGAACACTAGATTCGGTCCCTAAGCTCTTCTAATGACCCCCCAGGCTAAATCTACACAGCGACTTGAACACGAGAAAAAAGGTGCGAAATATGGAAGAAATGCTGTTCTCAAGGGTTCGTTCATGTACGGAAAATCTAGAGATTTTATAATATTTTAGATGGTTTTGGGTTTCCGGAAAATCCTGAAACGCTACCAAACATGGTAGCAGTATAGGGCGTCATCCAATCAGAAACTCGACATGTGACTTTCCACTTACTTCTAGTGAATGCTGATGAGGTAAGATGTTTCTCAGCATTTTCAGAGCCTTTTTGGCTTTTTTTCAAGGAGTTTTCTGGATCTCCCCAACAATTTACAAAGTAGAAACGGTACATCTAATGAATTCGGGTTTGGTAACGGCGCCTGATTATTATATCGTGCAAGCTGAATTATCTACAGCATCCGAATCACAAGTGAAAGTTGAATTAGCACTATATCCTCAGCTTGATCTGGAACATGATTGTTTTCCGTTACCTGCTTCGTATTCACTTCATATTTCATACGATATTGTGATCTGCACTTTGTTTTGAGACATTTGATACATCTTCAAATCTTTTAATCATGAATCATTTTCATTTTTCTGAAAGTATAGACAATTACTACCGAAAAATCAGCATCCTTATTACTTTTTACATATCCTAATTCGATTCTAATAAGGCCTAGAAAATGAAACTTGGAAAGTAATATACTGCCTATAAGTGTAATAAGTAACATTTTGAACTCTACTTAAACAATTTATTGTGAAACAAACAGATTCTAGTTTACTTTATTTGCAATCATGTTTTCATTAGAATGAATTAATCGAAATTTGCTACAATGTCTTTACATTTATTATGGCTTGCAACTGTAATCAATTAAGTCAGTTTAGAAAGAACTGTTATCTTTTAATCACAACCTTTTGTACCCGCCCCTTTGCACAGGTCTTTATTAGAGTAAACCAACATAAAAAGTAGTGCATTGAACTTTCCAAGAGAAAACTGCACAAAATGCGTCGATCTGTTGCGGAAATTATTGATTTTCTTTATTACCATTTGATTGACTGGTAATTTCCACAGTTAGCATCAGATTGATCATAATTGGATAATCATTAAAAGTCATGAAGCACTGGACAGTTGTTTCGTCATAGTATTGGACTACCCACAAGTTCAAATCCACAACCCCACTGTGGATAAAACATAAAACTTGTAGATCCCACGGCGAGTGCTGAACATTTAGGCTACTGACACGGCGTACATGTGTTTGACTTCAATCAATTCGCCATACCGTATAAGCATCTTCCATTACCTGTAGTGAATAAATGTCTTGCACTTGACGTATTTGAAGTCAAATTACTTACTCTTAAAATTATTTAGTTTGTTGATAACATAGCATCAAATAAAAACGTTGATTATTTTCCCGACTTATGTTCGTTAATATCAAACTGACCTTAGACTGTAATAATACATTGAAGTGAAGGTTGAACTTTATTCTTAGGTACAATTATCATTATTATTTAATGTATGCATTTTGTTCTTAAGATTCACGCCTTAGTTACCGTTTTATCTAACTTGTTTACATGACGACCAACAAAAGAAATCTAAGTTATTTTGCTCAACACAGTATTAGTATGCTTTGCATTACAATATAATTATTATTAGTTGAAGTTGAAAATACGGATGATGTTAGTTCTTAAAACGACAATAGATCTAACACAACTCAATAAACTGGTGATTAGTACACAATGATACTTTAACGATAACAACCATAATCCATTAAAAATATAAGAATTTATACAAGCGGTAAGATATCATGAAATAAGAAGATGAAACAAGTATACATTACAGTTTATAGAAAGTTTTAAAAGACTAGGCAACTAATAGGAACAAGTGTCAACTGAATGGCATCAATACATACCCCACAGATGTAATGAGGTGCAAAAAAGTCACAATAAAAACCATTGTTGTTGACACAATAACGGGTCATAACACACAATTAACTCAACCCCAATAAAACTTAATTATAATGATACACTCACCTTATTGACTGTATACAAAGGAACATTATGTTCTGCTAGATAACGAACAATTTCTAAGTGTTTCGAAATGACTGCAATGTGCATCAAACTGTTTCCATTCTACAAGTTATAAAAAGACAAGACATATAAATTAATTAAAGAAACAGTGAGATCTAGTATTATCTGATATGCCATAAAGTACATTACATTTTTACAAACTGATGACAATATTATTGACACAAGTGAATATGAAAACACTTTAAAATAATGATTACTGCTTCAACCAATATGTTTTAATATTTTAATTAATTTAAGCATTATCTAACTGTAGATCATTTCAGCTTGATAACTAATTTCCGAAACTAGGACAGTCAAGTTGAGTTTAGAGTAGGTGAACTTTTTTCTCGTCTGTTTTGATATGGATGAAGTCAGATTCAGTTTTGCGTTGATGTGAACCATCATTACTATTTTAAAAAAGCTTGTTAATCAAAACAATGTAATACAGTTGGTCTAATAGTAGAGGATTCAATTCTACGTAGTTTCGCCTTCATATATAGTTTAGTGAAAAAAGGTTTTGGCTAAAAGTATATAAACATATATCCCTACATTGACTGAACAATTAGTATTGACTAATGTATTTATCGAGTTCTGTCAATCAAGTTGGAATATAGCCACTGTAATCTAAGTAGCCCAACATGTTTTGATGTTAGTTGACACTGATTCCAATTCATCAGGGATCATCAGCTTCTTAAAGATCTCAAGTACACCTTTTTGATGAATGGTAGCTAGCACAAAAAGTAGGTGTACAGTTTCTCTCAAATTACTTTCAACCAACCAACATGTCTTATATCTCATGGCACCTTTATACTGAAGTGAGCTTTGGATTATCATTCTGTTATGTAATAAATTCTAGTCATTATGATAGTACAGTTCTGTCAACCTGTGAAACACCATATTTGTTACTTCATTTGTTAATATAAACTAGATGCAAGAAAGTATGGATTATTTGATAAATTTAGTTAGTACCTATTTCTCTTGGATATTTTCTCTAGAGTAATTGCGTAGTTGCCAAAACGTCTCACTTTCAATAGTTCATTTAAACTTTATCATTTCATTTATATCTGTTCAGACAGTCTGATAATATGGCTGAAATATACACATGAAAACATGACTATAAACCGAGTAAATCAATTAATAATTCGATATTGAATTGCATTAACATTTACATCAACCTACATTAATCATTATCGTCAATGAAATAAAAATTACTGATTATTGTTTCTTTCCCTATTAACAATGACAATATGAATAAATCAGACAAAAAAAATTACACAATATCAGAGATATCCTGATATTTAGAAAAAAAATTTTTTTATGAATCATTTTGGCATAGTTGCATTTTCTCAGCTCACTGGTTTAACTAATCAAATAAATCAATTATTTAAGTCCACATGTTCAGAAAGATTGATAACTCATACAGAGATCACATTGAAAACAGAGATAATAATGTGTTGATTAGACAAATTGTAAACTAATTCTTAGTATCATATTTCGATTTAACTCCACCTGTAGCTCTTCTAGAATTACTGCCGGTCCCGAACCAGGATATAGGATGAGGGTCGGAAACCCCATCCAGTAGAAAATCTTGCTAAAAAAATGCCAACCAGATTAAACGAATTTAAACATTTAAACTCTGCCCTGGAAGTTGAAGAAAGAATTATGACGCCTCATGGTGAAAGCCGAGTTCCTTCGGGAGTCACGAGGCCGATGACCCTACTAACAACCAGAGCAACAATTTTTATAGGTACATGGGACGTCCGTACACTGCGAGAGACCGGGAAGACCAGTCAAATAGCAACGAAAATGAGGAGATACAAATTGGCAGTACTGGGAATCAGCAAAACCCATTGGACCCAAGCTGGACAGCAAAGGCTAGCTACGGGTGAGATGCTGTTATACTCTGGTCATGAAGAGGAAAATGCCCCACATACTCAAGGAGTTGCTCTAATGCTGTCCAAACAAGCACGAAATGCACTTGCGGAATGGGAATCTCACGGATCCAGAATCTAAGCATCATCCCAAACAAAAAAAGAGGGAATCACAATGAATGTTAACCAATGTTATGCACCCACTAATGATAGCAACGACGACATTAAAGATCAATTCTATGAGAGGCTGCAATCAATCTTAGCGAAGTGCTCAAAAAAGGACCTCACCATTCTAATGGAAGATCTAAACACCAAAGTTGGAATAGACAACACCGGATATGAAGATATCATGGGAAGACATAGACTAAGAGAGAGAAACAAAAGTGGGGAGAGACTTGCAAACCGTGTGTTTCCAACAAATTGGTTATAGGCAGCACAATATTCCCACACAAACGTATACAAAAGCTACATGGATCGCACCGGTCACACCACAGAGAACCAGATAGATCATATTTGCATCAGTAAAAAATTCTGAAGGACAATGGCAGATGTGAGAACCAGGAGGGGGAGCTCACATAACTTCAGATCATCACACGGTGGTGGCCAAGAAGAAACAGAAGCCAAAGAAACACTGAATAACTGGAGGAACAGCATTAAAAAGGTTCAATACAGCCTTCCTTCAACATACTAACAAACTCAACGATATCAAGATAACTCTCAACAACAAGTTCCAAGCCTTACAGGATCTACTAAAAGAAAAAGAATCTACTATAGAAGACAACGGGAAAGGTATCAAAGAAGCATTAACTTCGACGTGTCAGGATGTTTCGGGCCACAAGTAGCATCATCATAAAGAATGGATCTCTATCGAAACCTTAAACAAGATTCAAGAAAGGAAGAACACAAAACAGCAATGAACAACAGCTGAACACGAGCAGAGAAAGTTAAGGCGCACGCTGAATATACAGAAAACAACCAAGTGAAGAACATTAAAGCCGACAAGCAGAAATACTCACCAACAGCAGAACAAATCAGCATGACCATCAAACAAATCAACAGTGGGAAAACAGCAACATCCGACAAAATACCAACTGCAACACTGATGTCGCGCATAGAACTAACTACAAACATACTACAAACATATTCTAATCACGAAGATTTGGGAGGAGCAACAAGTGCCACTGACAGACTGCAAAGAAAGACACATCATCAACATTACAAAGTATAACGATATGAGCAAGTGTGAGAACTCATCTGTAGAGGCATCACACTATTATCGATACCAGGAAAAGTTTTCAATAGAGTGTTTTTCAACCGGATGAAACACTCAGGAGACGTCCAAATTCGAGATCAACAGACCACAGTCCGTAAAGGCCAATCTTGCACAGACCAAATCGCGACACTACGCATCATTGTTGAACAGTCAATTGAATGGAACTCGTCAATATTCATCAACTTCTATGGCTATGAGAAAGCGTTTCACAGTATGGTGTACCTGAAAATATCTTAATCATGCGAATTCATACGACGGACTACACTGCAAAGTGGTGCATGGAGGACAGCTGACAGATGTATTCCAAGTGAGGGCCAGAGTCAGACAAGGCTGCCTACTCTCTCCCTTCCTATTTCTTCTGGTAGTCGACTGGATTATGAAGACCTCTACATCTGAGGGAAAACACGGAATATAATGGACAGTTCAGAACCAATTAGACGATTTAGACTTGGCAGATCACCTAGCCCTTCTATCCCCTACACATGAACAAATGCAGAGGAAGACAACTAGTGTAGCAGCAGTCTCTGCATCAGTAGGCCTCCACATACTCAAGAGGAAAACCTAGGTCCTCAAATATAACACGGAGAACAACAATCTAATCACTCTTGATGGCGAAACTCTGGAAGATGTAGAATCCTTCATATACCTGGAAAGTATCATCGATGAACAAGAAGGTTCAGATCCAGATGTAAAGGCGAGGATTGGCAAAGCAAGGACAGCATTCCTACAATTGAAGAACATATGGAACTCAAAACAACTTTCAACCAATATCAAAGTGAGAATCTTTAATACGAACGTCAAGGCAGTTCTAATATACGGAACTGAAACTTGGAGAACTACTACAATCATCATCAAGAAGGTACAAGTATTTATAAATAGCTGTCTTCGCAAGATACTCAACATCCATTAGCCGGATACCATCAGCAACAGCCTTTAGTGGGAGAGAACAAACCAGCTTTCAGCTCAAGAAGAAATTAGGAAAAGACGATGGAAATGGATATCACATACACTACTCAAATCGTCAAACTGCATCACGAAGCAAGTCCTAACTTGAAATCCTGAAGGGAAGCGGAAAAGAGAAGGCCAAAGAACATATTACGTCGCGAAATAGAAGCAGATATGAAAAGGATCAATAGGAACTGGAAGAAGCTGGAAAGGATCTCCCAGGACAGGGTGGGGTGGAAAATGCTGGTGAGCGGCCTACGCTACTCCACGAGGAGTAACAGGCGTAAGCAAGTAATATTTCGATTTATTCTATATACAGATGTTTATCAATAAAAGTAGAAAAATAACTTCATATTATACTATAAATATGATTTACTTTGTATACAACCTGGACTAATTATGCAGTCTGAAATCATTCTTATTTTTTGAAGACATATGTAATATATGTAGTCGAAAATTAGATAAATAAATATTCCAAGATAAAGAAAATAATTTCCGGTTGAAAATATAAACGTTCTACCCCCCTCCCATGGTTGATATGAACAAATAACGAAAGAAACATATTGAGTTGTTAAATAAAATGAAAACTTTTCCCCGAAAAAGCATTTTTCTTCTCGACGTTATTATTTACTAGTGCTGTACAGGCTAGATATAGTTATTTTTTTACATATAATGGTCTATAATAAAAATGGGGGATTACTACATCATTGATAGGTGCTAAAATTCAATCAGTATCTAAAGTTGCGTAACAGATAAAGAGTAATAAAATTGGAGTAACACGTAAAAATGAGATCTGAAAGACAACCCATATAACAACTCTATAAGGCAGCTAAATATATGAATGAAGTACATGTCAAAATAAGATTTAGGACAGAATTGGCGAATATAGTTGTTCACTCAAAGAATATAGGAAGATGAAGAGAAAAAACATCGGGAGAAGGTCAGTGAATACTAAAGACAAATGTAAGAAGGAAACTTAACTCACTAAGACCAAGTCTTTTAAGAGAATATTACAAGATGAAAGTGAATCTGTCAAAAATTGTCATAAAGCCTAACAATCATCAAAATATTTGCAAAAAGAACATAGCTGTACAGAATTGTCTGAAATCCTCATGCGTCAAAATAAATATCTCGACAAAAATCGATTGATCGTAAAATATTTTAACTTATATTCATTTTAGAAGAATTAAAAACCGAAAGAACTTCTTTACTGTTAGCATGGAAAGTTGGTGCAAAATTTTCAATCTGTAGTCGATATAAACTGACTTTGGCTAAACAGTATTTATCGAAATTCCCGCTAATCAACATTTTTTTTAAAAATGTAATATGTAATTAATTAAGAACTTTCGTCTAAATTTGATCGAGTAGTTTCACAGTATTTGGGCGCCGAGTTAATCTGAGACATTAAAGAGGAAGAATGTATTTGTAAAATCTAAACGAATGAATTTTGGAGTAAATTCAAAGTTTCGCCTGGCAATCTGGTCCAAGCTTTTTTAAGGAAATATTTTCTTCAAATCCTTTCGCTGAGACGTTACAAATACATTCGGTTTAATTTTGGTTCCCTTGAAGTCAATTTCCTGTTGCGTTTTTATTGCTGGTAATTCAATCGCCTAGCTATTTTTATACTACTTAAGTTCTTAGAATTCGAGAATGTATCTCGATAGGGTCATCTATAAAATAAATTGTTCTACTTGCGAAAAAAATATATCGGAAAGAGCAAACGACCCCTCCATCTTCGACTTCATGGACATCAGTTAGCTTATATCAATGCATGTGGACAATTGTGGACTCACATTCGTCTGAGAAAATGTTGAAATCCTAGATTCATGAAATGCTAAGAACACCAGAGTATTTTTAGAAGCTTGACACTCGGGTCAGTCAGCAATCAACAAACACATCGACATCGATCCAATTTAACAATCAGTAGGAAAAATCACGGACAGATATGGGAACGAGAATTATATCAAAGGGAGATACAATCAAAATAAAAAGGCAGATAATGAGAGGTCAAAAATAACCAATCAAGATCAAGATCGACAGCAAAAGGTGTTGGTCATATGTAGAGAAATCCAAATACTCCACTTCTACCTGAAGTGTGTTCTGATTATGTTATTCAAAAGAACAATGAAAGCTCGTCGCCAAAGCATCTAGCTCAAAGAATGAAACTCCACTAAAAACAATTCACCTTAGAGTGTAGTAGTTACATTATTAAAATGTTTGACTCGACTACTAAATTCCTAACTCCAAAACTAGTATGTCCTATCCAACCTCTTACCCTTCTGTGAAATAATGAAACAGAATATTATATCATTACGTTGATGTCCTGAAATATCGTTCAAGTGTCTTAATTATTATAATAAATAACTGAAAATTTAAGGGAAATATAAGCAGTGAATCAGATTTTTTACCGTATCTTAAATATTTACAATCCCCAGTTGACTTATCAGTCTAAAGTGTCCATATTTATTGTTATAGATTAGACCGGCACTTTACTGGCACAATAATAAAAATGTTTTATTACTTAAGTGCTCTTAAAACATAAAAAACAGTGTATTATGCTGCTTACTTAGATTACTTCCCGTTAATGTTCATACTATCAGTCGGTAAACCTACTAGTATAAATCCTTCCTCTGTAAAATACACTCTATCTAGACAGAGTTAAACCAGTTAAGTATTTGTCTATTGAACCCAGTAAAAAATGAGTTCCGGCAAACAGATAGTCTTCATTTACATATTATAAGAAGTTTTTTGTCAGAATATTGATGTTAAATTAAGATCATAATACTATTGGTTAGCCGAAATCTTTAATTGTCAGCCTTAGCTTTAAGTCCATAGAACATAAACGGAAATAGATTATCTTGGATGTCCTGCTTTCTTTCCGGGTTTTCTTTTGGAAATGAAAAGGTTAAAACTTAGATTTCTCTATCTAATAACTCCTAAATTTGAAGGTTGTTAGTTTTTTTATTGCATATATAAAGAAGTTTCAAATCTACAATTAAACAGAAAGGTTATTTCATTTCAAAAAGCTTTTGATTTTTATGCATGCAATCATTTTGATGGATAGAAATTAAAAGTATGCATTACATTATGAAAAAACTTACGATCTTCAGTTCATAAGTTTACATGAGAAAGTGGTTTTTTGAGTTCAACCCTTGTCAAGACAATAAAATAGTACATTTTAAAGAGGAAAATATTTAGTATAAGTTAAACTCCAAACTTTTGTTATCAGATATCAACCTAACTAATAAGTAGTCAAGATAGACGATGGTTTTTATCACGGAGTAACGGCAACTGAAGAATTACTAAAAACTGGTAAATACTAGATAACTATTTTATGTTTAGTAAAGGAATTTTGTGCAAATTGTTAGGTCTTATAGTTTACAACGTGAACTAACATTAGCTAGGAAGCCACTGAAGACCAGGAGGTACTGAACAGGTGTTTCGTTCTTGTGTGAGACTCCTCAGCAATGTACATTCACGATTCTACCGAGTATTGAATCCAGGCCTTTAGAACATTCAGGCAGCACTTAATATTTGAGCTAATGAATAGTCATCGAATAGTTTTCCTTTCATTCTTAAATCAGATCGTGATACTGCACAATCATCTTTCCAAACCCTTAGCAGATAACTGTCTTACTCTTAACTTCGTTCTAACCAGCTGGTCACAGCTTCTTAGTAGAACTCCGAGAATTACCTCTTAATATTAGTCACTTGTGAGCACGTGATTATTATTACTACAGGGAAGGCTGTTGATTTTTCCATTTTACACCAAGGAACGAACTTAGTTAGAAAGCTACCGGAAACCAGGAAACACTGAACCTTTTTTAAAATCTTTTCAATAGTACACACCTAGATTCTTCAGGAGTCACTGCAAGAATCACACTAACCAGTTACTACGATCGAAAATATGATTTATATTTCCAACATCAATTGTTCAACACTGCATTATTTCCATAAATAGACTTCTTAAATAATATTTTTTGTTTAACAATTAATATTTAAAATCCAACAGAAACAGTTTTCTATAACCCTAATTAGTTTAAACTATCATCGAAATACGTTATTGTCAAATAATGAAAGTAATTAGGTCACGTTTGAGAAACATAGTTTCATCTTTTCAGATATTTCTTTTCTTTTTACATAACAATAATAATAGTATATGAGAATTTTCAAAGAATTTGTCCTTTTTATTCACTGACCTTTTAATTTGTATCCGAGTTAATTAAATGGTAAAATATGTCAATAACCTATTGTTACGAAAATGTATCTTTGATTTTAATTATTACAGAAAAAGATTATGATTTGAATGTTTTTCTTTAAACGAATAAAATTCTGTCTTATATTCTGAAATAAATACAACTACAATCATGAAATCTTGAACTGCTTACAACATTGCTGGGTAAGGATAAGTTATTCATTTGTATTAGTTGTTTGAATCTTCCCAATGATGTTTAGGACGTAGTAATTTTAGTGGAAATATATGATAACATTGTGCAGTTTGTATTCTCATTGCTTGATTTTCATTAGTAGAAAAAGTAATTTAATCTGACAATCCTTGAAACAATAACAAAGTGTCAAGAGAAACGGTTGCTATCAGTTACACATACAAATTGAATAGTAATGCATTTCCCACAAGGTTTGAAAGAGCTAAATAAATGTGGGAACTCCGTAGGATAAATATTTAGTGATAATGGATTTCACAGTGAGGACAAAAACTGTTTGTTTTGTTTAAATTTACGAATTTTTAATAGTTACTTAAATGAAATAATAAAAAGCTTCGAAATCCAAAAACAATTTCACAACACTAAGAGGTTTTCAGGGTAACTAAAAACAAACAAAGTCGACAAGTTTAATTCATCTTACCTCATCCAAGTTTTTAAAGTTGAAACTGTTGCATTGGGTAAATAAATGGTTTATCAATTCCAAATTTCCATCTAGAATCGCACCAACTATTAAATGATAATTTGAAATCTATAATAATTTAAACAAATTGATATGAGGTGAATATTTATACAGAAGTCATTTTTGGATAGTCAATATGAGGATAATGAACTTATTTGAAGTATTTTAGTCAGACATGTATTTAATGATAATCAAAGTAGAGCCTGGAATAAAGTATGTGGAGTTAAATCACCTTCAGTATTGTATTTTGATAAGGAGCAAGTTATATTAATTGATAACAGTAATCAATCGTACATTTGTCTAACTCCAAATGTTGGTCGAAACCTACCAATTAATTTGATATAAGATCATCATTTTAAGTGACTTAACATGACAAATAGAATGGAAAACATTAACCCTCTCAACATTAGAAATGTACTAACGTATTCTAACATGAAACCCATAGTTTAGCACCAATATGAGAAATAATGGTGAAATGCACAAATTTCAAGAAAACATCGAACTGATGACGCTCTTTAGATTTACTCATAAGAAAATAAAAGTGTAGAAGGTGAACATGTTTTAATTCAAAGTGAAATCCAAGATTATGCCACTTGTTCATTTAAATATTTGTAAAATTCAGTAGTGCTTACCATATTTGTTTACATTAATTAAGCTATTTAAAAATTTCCATCATTTTCCCGTTTTACACTGAGATATAAAAAATTGAATTGATTATCTCGTTCATATTCTATTGTAAACATTATGTTAGGATGAAAGTTATTGAAAAGACATATCTAAGTAAGATACCATTGCAACAATTGATAACACAGTCAATAATCATCATAAGGAACTTTTGAAGAAGAAACTCAGTGATAATCCAACTTTCAACAATCTGAAGGCGAAAGGATCACGACCGCTTTTTGTATAAAGTACACAAATCCAACATCCCGTTAAGACCTATAATCTCTATGATGAACCCATATCATAAGTTGACTCGGTGGTTAGCCAGATTATTAGAACCAATTCGTAGAAAGTTGGCGGTCAATATTTTAAAAGACGAATTCCAGTTTTCTAAAGAAATAAATCAACTGAATATATCAGATAAATTCATGGTATCTCTTGACGTGTGTTTATTATTTGCGAGTATACCACGAGAACAAACTATAAATATAATTTGCAATCTGAATTACTTCCCGCGATGATATGAACAACGCTTCTTGGTTATTTAGTCACTTCAACAACTCTCATCTCAACATAACGTTTACAATAGAATATGAAAGAGATAATCAATCCAGTTTTTTATATCCTAGTGTAAGACGGAAAAATGATAGAAGTCTTGAGAAAAGTAAATACAAAAAAAGAAACATAGACAGGACACCATTTGTATTTAAAAATTCACGTGGAATATTTATACATAAAGAATATTAGAGTGAACAGTCGGTTTCAATCAACTTCTTTATCAAACTTCATCAGGTTATAAAATCAAAATTATCATTTTTCAAAGCGATTAGTCCCTTTGACAAATTTGAATAGTGTAATCAGAAGACGAAGATAATCAGAACTATGATATATATGCGCAATACATTTCAAAAAATCTGACCACATATATACTTGTTAAGAATATTTATATATAAAAATAAAAGACCAGATGAAGGGTAAGAATAAACATCATTTTTTGAATTTATACTTCCATCCTTCTTATGTCACATGATAATTATCATAATAACTACGACTATATGTACATACATATAACTCCGCCTGTAGTTCTAGGGTTACTGCTGGTTCCGGCACCCGGCAAAGGAGGAGAGTTGGACAATGGTTCAGCAACCCCATATCGTAGAAAACAACCTTGCTAAAAAACCCTAACCAGAATAATTAATTTAAACCATTTAAACTCTGTCCCTTGAGTTGAAGGATCTTCATTCAGAAAAATTATGACAAGTCATGGTGAAAGCCGATATACTTTGGAAGTCAAGAGGCCGGTGCCTCTTCTGGCAATCAGAGCGACAATTAATATAGGCACATGGAATGTTCACACAATGTAGGGAACCGGGAGGACCAATCAAATAGCTAAGAAAATGAGGAGAAACAACTTGACGGTTTTCGGAGTCACTGAAACCCATTGGACCTAATCTGGACAGAAAAGACTAGATTCGAAAGAGGTGCTTTTGTACTCTGGTCACAAAGAAAAAAATGCCTCACACACATCAATATAGACTTAATTTACTAATAGATTCAGAAAAAAATCAGCTACATTGTCAGAAGTCAACTGAACAATACAGCCAATGAGAACAAACGTATATATGAGTACAATAAACTCGGAAACAACTAGTTGAAAACAGAGTCTACTTGAAGATGCTTTCCAGAACGACAACGAAAGCATTCCCAATTAAACAATTCATTCACAACAGAGAAAATAACATTTTAAAAATTTTACCAATAATAAAAATGAAAACCTGTTCATTTTTATTGAGTTTAATATTGTCACTCATATATATATAATTGTCAAATGAATAACAATTAAAAATATTTTATGAATATAAGTACAGTAGAAAGAGAACACTTAGACTTACTTCATTTTCTTCTGTAATATCACGTTCAATAGACACTTCATAATTTTCATGAGTAGCCATAAGTTCTAGACAAATATTGTTGTTGTATGTATGTGCTGTTTTTTTTCTGCTTTATTTATTTTGACTAACGTATTGTTTATTATTGCGTGATATACATATATATATGTTAGTATGGAAAAAATTAAATGAATATTTCATATCATGTATTCACATGCGAATATGACTGGCTGTCACTACTTGACTAGTTTGTAAGCAAATACTACTTGTTCATTTTAATGACAGAAATCGTTCTGTATCATAAAAATATTTGTAATCCGTTTTCTTTTCCTATCATTCTGTCTGAATTTCAAATAAGAAACTAAACATTAAATGATTATATATATATATATAATTTACAAAACGCATATACAAAGTTACATGGGTCTCACTGCATCACACTACACAGAACCACATCGATCATATTTGCACCACCAAACAATCCGGAAGATCAGTGAGAGACGTATAAACAAAGAGACGAGCTGACATGATTTCAGATCACCACCTAGTGGCTACCGAGATGACACTTAAGCCAACGAAACACTAAACAACCGGAAAAACTAGAATTACAAATGTTTGATATAGTCTTCCCTCGACATACTGACAAACTCAACGAATTCAAAATAGCTCTCAACAAAAAGTTCTAAACCCTACAAGATCTATTCAAAGAAGAAGCAACCACCATGGAAAACAACTGGAAAAGGATCAAAGAAGAACTAACTTCAACGTTTCAGGAGGTGGTGGGCCGCAAGGAGCATCATCACAAGGAGTAGATATTCATCGAAACCCGCCCTCAAACACCCTGGTACGTTCGAGAGTGGGGAGGGTCCGCTCTCCCTCTCGAAATGCTCTCAAATGGCCACGTGTATACAGCCGCTCTCGGGGACGTCCTACTAACTGCCTTCTCGCGGTGGCGGTGTTGTTTACGCAATTTAGAAGACGATAAACGAATATTCGGCGCTTTAACCGGGTCGGTGGACATGGAGAGTCCACCTAGGGGAGTTGGAAAACCCTGATTCCACACCAATCGTGCACGTGGACTCCAGTATCCTGAAGGAACAAATGGCGTATGAACCAATCGTTGGTCACTGGCTACCATGGGACTACATCTCCTTACGATGCTCCACTGCCTTGTGGATTACATCTTTAAGTCAAAGGGTCTGGGTGTGGCCTCCTGTAGTGTCGGTCGATATGTTAAGCTCATATACCTTATTCTCGCTTTCGGACAGCCCATTTTATTCATTCTACTTGAGTCACATTCTGACCTTGCTATTTATTCGCTTATCAATCTTGACTGTTTTTATATGAGCGCGTAGGTGTGTGTACATTTCTTATCCCATTACTCATCACATGTCTGTAACTTACTTTTGTGTAACTATAAATATTGATTAACGCTTGGTTAAATGGGAGTTGGCTTACCCGCCATCTCCACTGCGCGTCGTTTCTCTTCTCTCTATTCCATTCGCTTCATATACAAAATATATGTATTCAAAAGTACATTCTCATTTTTTGACTTATTTAATTCCGTTATTGACTAACGCGATTTAAGTCGATGATTATATACGAGGATAGATTATAACAAACATTCATTACGATCTAATATGAGTCAGACCCACGGGCCACTAAACTCCTAAGAAAATCATCTGCTTCGGTTTGGGCACATGAGCAGTAACATAGCCCTCACACAAACCAATGATAACTACGACTGGAAAGACTTATCTTGCTTCAACTTTCAGACAAATCTTATTCGTAATCATCGGATAACATTCCTTTTTATTTCGTTTATACTACATCACTTATATATTCCTCATGTTGCGTATCTATGGTGGGAACCCTGTATTATCTAAATTATGTCGAGTCAGTGACTGGTTAAAAGTTGAATGCTATCACCGAATACGAATACTGAAACAGTCTTTCTGAAACCATGTATACCATTCAAACTGACCTCCTTCAACGTTCGCACACTAATGCAGATCGAACAACAGATAAAATTGGCTATGTCTTTAGAAGTTTTCATATCGATGGCTGTTGTCTATCCGAAACCCGTATTCAAGACTCAAGTGAAATACTGCAAATTCGCTCCCCATCTGTCGCTTCGGAAAGCCTGTTTCACGTGAGTTTATCTGAGGACCTTCGTCTGGTTTTGACAGCGTTGGTGTCGCACTAAGCGCTAGAACTGAAGAATAACATTGGAGCCAACAATCAGAAACACGTAGAACATCTAGCAAACACAGAGAAATAACCTGCAACAGAAGGAAATATCAGACAACCATATGACACTAGGAAGAAACCATGAGGTAAATATAGTAAACCAGAGAGATCAATCAAGCAAAAACAAGGTAAGCCAATCACTCAGATTCAGGAACAGAAAAACAGATGGGTAGAACACTTTTAGGAACTCTTGACTACACGAAACCGACTAAACATATCGGACATTGAAGCAGCACACACAGATCTTCCTGTAGATTTCATTCCACCAACATCAGAACAAATCAGCATGACCATCAAACAAATCAACAGTGGGAAAACAGCAACATCCGACAAAATACCAACTGCAACACTGATGTCGCGCATAGAACTAACTACAAACATACTACAAACATATTCTAATCACGAAGATTTGGGAGGAGCAACAAGTGCCACTGACAGACTGCAAAGAAAGACACATCATCAACATTACAAAGTATAACGATATGAGCAAGTGTGAGAACTCATCTGTAGAGGCATCACACTATTATCGATACCAGGAAAAGTTTTCAATAGAGTGTTTTTCAACCGGATGAAACACTCAGGAGACGTCCAAATTCGAGATCAACAGACCACAGTCCGTAAGGGCCAATCTTGCACAGACCAAATCGCGACACTACGCATCATTGTTGAACAGTCAATTGAATGGAACTCGTCAATATTCATCAACTTCTATGGCTATGAGAAAGCGTTTCACAGTATGGTGTACCTGAAAATATCTTAATCATGCGAATTCATACGACGGACTACACTGCAAAGTGGTGCATGGAGGACAGCTGACAGATGTATTCCAAGTGAGGGCCAGAGTCAGACAAGGCTGCCTACTCTCTCCCTTCCTTTTTCTTCTGGTAGTCGACTGGATTATGAAGACCTCGATATCTGACGGGAAGCACGGAATAAATTGGACAGGTTGAATGCAACTAAACGATTTGGACTTCTCATATGACCTAGCCCTTATAGCTAGCTTGATTAGATCTTATCTACTCTAGGTTTTCTTTCACGAATGTACGAAATAAAAATCATGTTTCATTAAATATACTCACATCGAATGATACAACCAAATAAATTGCATCATGAATTACGTTCGCTCTCTACCAAAGTATTCAGTGAATATCGGAGTAACAACTAACTTAAAGGTATGGTTTATTTGGGATTTAATAACAGTAAGCTTAGGTTATCACAAGAATCATTTAAATAGTGAATATTGATTATTTATAGTGAAAGAGCCTAACTTTACTAAGAACCCGCGAAAATGAAATATTTTTTAAGAGTTAGTTCTGAAAAATTTTTACAATCCTTTTGAGATAAAATTGTAATAATATTCCTGTTATAACTGGTTGTCAATCGCTATGACTACATCGCCAATTGTTATGTCCAGTCGACGCTAATTGTCATATCGGAATCGCTTATTTCTTATACTTGTAAAACGAGAAACCACTGTAATTTCCACGACGCGAAGTAAGAGTACCAAGACTGGTACAAGTGAAAACTTATTAAACACAAAACACAACGACCCTAGTAGAAAATACACTTATATATAGACTGTACACCTATTTTATTTATTAATTATGATGAAATCATGCATATGAAAAATACCCTGAGCTATAACAAATCACGTGCTGCGTGTCATGTCTGTCATATCAATCCCAACTTGAATATGTATAAATAAATCGAACCTACTGAAATGATTTGTCAACTAATCCTAGCATCTTGTTTTTATGTAAGAAACGAACAAAATATCTCAATATTTATTCAAGTGATACCTATAGTATACATTAGATGTAAGCATTTTCACCGACTTTACAAATGTACCCTAATTTGTAAATAGTACTGTAATTAGAAAGCGAAATGCATATCGTATATAGTCAATATACCGTTTAACTGTTTGAAAGTAGCAATTTCAATGCCATAATCATTAATATGAATGATTTTGCGTGACTGAAAATGGTGGAGATAGCGTTACAAAAGGTGTCGTTTGTTTTATTCTGCGAACGTATTTCGCTTTGCTTTTTTTAGCTTAGTTACGCAAAGCAAAGTCTTATAATTATAGCAAATAAACTGAGTAAATAGACTGATATTATTTCTTTGGTAAAAATATAGTATACGGGCAAGCCAATCAGAGTCGAACAAACTACTTTCGAGTTTTTGAACGAAATTCACAAACCGATGTCTTTTTTCTTGGCTCTAGTTGTTCATTCAAATTTTGATGTTCAATGAATGTGGGGCATCAAAACTTCTCGGTCATTTTACTGTTCATTTAGTGGGTGATTGCTAAGTGTAATTTCCAAACCATAACTTTCACTACACACGGGTAATTCATATAGCATGTTGGAATCTGTTACATTGACACGTTCATAGCGGAAACAGAAAACTTTAGATGCAATTCTTTTTGTCGCTAAATCATAAAAATGAAGTGTTAAATGTATCAAGTACTTTCACAGTTGAATTCATCAGTCGATCTAAGCTAGACCACCATTGAAAACCTGGAAGCACTAGACGGCCGTTTCGTTCTAGTGTGGAACCCTTCAGCAGTGCATAATCACGATCAAGCACACAGAACTCGAACCCAGAGCCCTCAGTCTCTCGCGCGAATGCTTAACCTCTAGACCACTGAACCGGGATCAAGTACTCACATTTTCATGTTAAGACTCCATATATATATATATATATATATATATACCCATGAGTTGTTCATATTGATGTGGCGGGAACAACGGTTCACCTATAACCCTTCAATAAATTTATTAAGAAATGCTTTATAGACGATAACAAATTTATCACAAAACCATTTGCAGCTTTGAGGAAGGCTGACTATAAACCTTGGAAAATTAATGAACTTTCTAAAATCATCAAACTAACAGATTTCATTCGTTCTATTGCGAAATACTTTTAATTTATACAGACCGTCTACTTATTGACTAAAAAGTCGCTTCAAAGTCATAGTCATTTTAAGAATCACTTAAGGTCGTCTCTATACCATTTCCTCACAAGTCCACATAGTTTCATTTCGAATTGCTTAAAATTTAAGAAAAGTACTAATAAAATTAGACTTCATAACAAAAAAATAAAACTTTGAACTTATCCTGTGGACATCAAATTGATATTTTTGTTTACTCTAAACAATAGACACACCAACTATTTATAGTGATTATTGACAATAAGATAGTAATATACTATAATATTATATATATGATCAAAATCACTTTGAGTTCTAGGTCAGGTCAGTGGGAATATAAAAACAAGGAGTATAATAGGAAAAGAAAGATGTTATCCACTCCTTTCGATATCGCCGATGTTGCGTTACCATAAACATAAATCTTAGTAAAGTTGTAGATTGTGGTTGCCGGTGATACGAACAGATAAAAAGGCTCACAAAACTACTATGCACTATTATATGAACCTTTTCGAGGTCAATTTTATGTATTTCTAGCACCTATTTAGTGGTACATGAAGATATCTTTTTAATCGTCTTATATTATTGGACGGTCAAAATTCTGTTGTTTCGCGGATATTTACGTACATATTCGGCCGTGTTTACATTATCACCACTACTCTTTAGGAAATTAATAAAGTATGTGTAAATCGATGCATGCAATGATATGTTGCCCAATCGTTCATAGTGTATTTGGAATTTTTCTGAAGTACGGTATTCGTTTCCAACCATATGTTCAAGCCTTCATTTCAATATAAAGCTGTTCAAATCGTTTCTAAACGACGAGATGATGAGGACATTGTATTTGTATTAAGCAAAATATATTTCAAACAGTACACTATTTGATGGGCATTGCACCAATGTATTACTTACTCTTGATAAATGTTATCTTATTACTTATTCCAGGAATCAAAACTATTTTTTGAATATCTTTTTTATGAAGTAAAATATATATTGATCGGGTAGAATGTTTAATAAATACTCAATTATTACTAAACCGCTCATTGATACTCTCACCCATTAGTAAACTAAATGCTCCGACAGAAGATAGATATCTGTCAAGGTGAATGTTTAGGACTTTGAACAACAAACTCTCGCCGACATAATATGTGGCTTTTCAAAACAATTTTAATAATGGAAAAATTGATAACGTAAGACAAGATTGCTCCCTCCATAAGATAAAAACTTTGCATGGTATCGCGCATAAATAACCACTTTATTTGAACAAATTAGTGGTTGTTTGGACTCGTTAACTTTTTAGATAACGTAAGGATGTTTGGAGTGATAGGTACTAGGTTTGAGTATCAATGTAAGTATAAATACTAGGATGCAGGAATATTCAGCTGAGTCCTGAATGGAACTAAACATGTGACCTGGGTCTTAAGCCTAGCCAAAATTCTAATTAATTAATAAACAATTTAGGTACTATAAATAAATTCGCCAAACAGCAAACGGATGAATAAAATAAAAATCTTTATGTGACAAGAATGTACTGTTTTATTAAAAACTGAACAAATTTTCATATCCTGTGCTGTGAACTATCAATTTGAATAATAGAGCTTATTGTCTGTGAAGCAATAAATCCATTTTAAGCAGCACATGACGTACCAAGAATGAAAAGTTACATATAATGCACATCAACAATCGGAAAACATATTATGGTTTCTAAATAACCTTAATATTCCATCTTCTATCTAACTGAATTCAGACATCGATCACAACCGTTAACTCATACAATAAAACGGTATAACTAAAGTCACTCATCCAAGGTACTGATTTTAACAAAAATGGAATTTGTTTAAGATATTGATTCATTTAGAATTTCCCATTTTTCATGGATTACTAATAAATCATATAT